GGGATGATCGGCGCCGATGGTAGCTTTGTCTGAAAATGGGCTACCCAATTCCGATAAGCATGATTTTCCACACTCAATGGCCATGAGGGAGGCTATATGGCTATAACTCATTTTCAGACCCAACTATTTATTATCACATCGGATCCCTAATCTTGTTGGTTTTGTACATCAAATCCCCATATTTTGGGTGGAAGAGAGGCCATGATTGCTGGGCTCTCCCTTACGAGATCGCTGCTTCGGACATACGGTCGGTGGGACCGCCCAGTTATGCTGTTGGTTTAGATTCAGCCCATTAAGTAGTTCGATGTATCCCCTGTAAACCATAGTTATTGGAGTTATAAACCAGCTGCACCAGTTGGTGACTATTGGTAAATATGAAACACGGCAAAAATCATGGGATTATCAGGGGATAAATAAACCATCTACCAACTGGTGATTCGGATTTCGCGTTGCCATCCATCATTCCAGCGATCGAAGAAAACATCCCCAAGATCATTATGATCATCCTCTTTCTTTTTTCTCGACTGACAAAAAATGATGAGTTCTGACTAGAATTTTTAAGGGGTGCAGTTGAGGTTTTCTGAATGGGTATAACCATAAATAACTTTGGTGGTAACCGCCATAAGTTGAGATGAGTTTAGATTATTTTATATATATATATATATGGGTAAATTATAATAATTCACTACCCTGAATTGTTGGGCCATTTGGGGATGATTCCCCTTACTAACCATGATTTCCAGTGAGGGAGAACAGTGAGGTCGTTATAATTTACTTTACCATTACCCATATATATATATATATATATCTACCAAAAAAAACAACTATGGTGAAATCTATCCAGCGAAAAATAGAACTGCACCCAACTCTGGATCGACTGGATCCCCACCCCAAAACTGGTGGGATCCCAGCACGGTACACCAGTCATTCCCCACCAGCCCCAGTCTTCACATACCTGGTACGGATCTTCATCCATTCCCATCATTTCATCCCCTCCGCCCGGTGAAAAAAAAAAAACTCAAAAAATTAGGGGGATGCTGCCCCCTGAATTAATAAACCCTTGTTGATTAATGGAGGTCACCCAATACAAGCTGATCAAGGGCACAGGTGGCCGCCACTAACCACAGGCAGGTGTGTCTTGAGAGGGGAGTGTGTTGAAATTGGCTATACCGGCTATACCCCAAAACCCCAATGATTTTCATGATTTCCCATTTTAGGTATCCCCAATTCTTGCGACAAAACCATCTTACATTGGTGGTTGTATATCCTATCATATCCAAAAAAATACCCAAATAACATCCTCACTAAATAACATTTCTTTAATAACATCCCGCTTACATCCCATCCCTTCCGTTCTCGTCTGTGAAATTCTAGGGCCATCCGCTCCCGCAATGAACAGAGTGATGACTTCCAGCATCGCGGGATCCGCGCAATCTTGGGCAGTTTGCCCTGTGGTGATGTAACGTAGCTGGCTGGACAAAATTCACAGCGTATTTGGGGGTGCATACAGATTGGTAAGTGCCTATTGACATATCTATCACTGGGCTATCTCCCATGATATTTATTTATAAACATATGATATGTACTGTATGTATATATATATGAATACATAACTGGATCATTTCATATGGTTACAATTTACTACCCGCTTGAAGAAACTGGGATGTACATCCAAGTAAATGGTAATCCCTGGGGCTCTGTTGTTTTGATGGAAATCTACTAAGTAATTTCACAACAGGTGGATGTTCCCTCAATGTTTGAAAACAAAATCATTTTACTATGTTCTGATGTTTTTTGGAAACAAATTGATGTTGCAAGCACTATCCAATGGCATCTATACAAGAGTTCAGCAGTTCTACAAATGTTGTGCCCTATTTTGTGTGATTTTTGGTTTTTGTTCCTTCCCGTGTTTTATTTACAACCGCAATTTCTCAGTCACAATTTCTCAACCCTTTGATTGCAGTCAAAGTTGCAGTGTTATGCAAGTCAATAAATTCCACTTTTTTTGTTCTTTGTTGAATGTGGCGATTTGGGCCTAAATTCTGCGACGGACCTTAGCACATGGTTTGTGCACCAACCCATCTGCACGCCGAACGAACATGTCTTTGCAAAACAAATGTTGTCTGCAAATTGGGCGCAGGGAATTTCGTGGTTTATCACATACCATCATTTTCTCACAAAAAGACATTTTTGCATGCCCGCGTCTCGGCGCGTGGCATGTGTTCCAGCCATTAATGTCAATCAATTTTGGGGGCCTGTTTGCAAAATGCATTTTCTTTCGAATGGAAAATACGCGTTGAAACAATTTGAAACACTTGCAAATTGGAACACAAATTATGGCAAAAAAAACTCTATGACAATGAACCTTAAAGGTGCCAAAATGAAAGATTAAAAATCGCCAATGTTGAACAGAAACATCGAAAAGCTGGCTGTCTCTGACCCTGACCCGCTGGAATATGAATCTGTCTGCCTCATGAAACCCTTGCTATCAATACATACAACGTATATGTACGTGTGTATATATATATATCTCATTATATAATTACATGACTTCGACTTTGGTTCCCTAATAGTAAATTCCCCCTAAAAACAAAAACTACCTGAGGTGTTTATTATTTGGGGGGTTAGTATAAGGGAAAAGGATTATATAATATATATGAATTGAAATATGTATCTATACAATTTTTAAATACATATATCTAATTTGTATACATGTAGACCACACACTCATATTTGCTGTTGTGCATGCTTGCTGTGACTGTTTTGGACTCAGTTTCCGCAAGTAATTACCATGTTTTGGATTGTAAAACGCCAGAGGGGCAAAAATATCTCTGCAAAAATCCTCCAGAGACATTTTTTTTCTCGGTTTGCGCCAGCTCTGCCGCTTCTAGGCAACTATCTGTAGCGGACCGAAGGTGTGGAACTTCCACGAAATGAACCAGCTGAATTCATGTTTAAAGTAACTATCTAGCGTTGCTCTCCTTCCGGAGACCTTGCCAAAACAAATTAGCTCTCAACAGTAAATCTCGATTGAACAAGTTCATATGAACCTGTGCAATATCATATATATATATATTATATATGTGTATCAACCAACGGAGCATTGGGTTCTTATAAACTCGAATCTAAGGGGGTCCCGGGCCCAATACATTCGCAATAGGTTCCCCAAACGGCGGACTTTGACGCAATGGGAGAGTAAAAAGAATAAATCTTCAGCAGATCGAAGTCATTTGGGTGTGTCTTAAAATGGTGGATCCCCAAGGCCCAAAGCCATGAGTTTCAATACTAAGATGGTCATCCATGACGACTGGATGATTTGGGGTACCCCCATGGATTGGAAACCTCCATGGATGGTGAAACACTTAGACTCAACGACCTGGTTGATGGGCAAATAAGTCAATGAATAGCAGGCCACCTGAGGAGGTTTACCATGGTATACCCCCGAAATAACAGTTGATATGTGGAAAACACAAACCATATGATAGCAAAGGTCGCAAAGGGCCCTCCAACAAAGCCTGCTGAATCTGGGAGGGGAGCCACTTCAAGAGTCAATGATTCTCAACCATGACTTCAGTAGGAACCGACGGGATTTTCATGTCATGACTCGTCGGTGGTTTGATGAGTTTGATGCATCCCCATAGCTTTGTTTATTTACAATCGTTGCGATCCTTACCCTCTGGTAAACTAACATAGCTATGGAAAATCACCATTTTTAATGGGAAAACTCACTATAAATGGCCATTTTCAATAGCTTTGTTAGTTTACCAGAGGGTATACCGCATTGGTGCTGAAAACATTCTGAATGTTTGCAACATGATACATGTCCAGTCAGTTGCGGGAGACTCATGCAGGCTGAGCCAACACAAACGTGATCCAAAAAAAACACATCCTTGTAATATTGCTTCAAATCCTTTCATCCAAGAATGTCCCCTTGACATGAATCCCTAAATAGATAGAAAAGATGTCCACTATTCTGCAAACTTTAAATTGTAGACTATATTTACCTCATGGGTAAATAAATGCCAGTTTCCAGTTTCTATTAGTCCATGTGGGCTTTGCATGCTTTGCTATATCGCGACTACAAGCCCATGAAATCACACAGCTCAGCCGATCTTGAACCAAAAGCCTCCGGACCTGTTGGGATATCCATCCCTCGCACACTTGTGGTGCCTGCGCTGTGTGCAGCCTATGCATCTGTGGGCAGCGCCCAGTAGTCGTCAATGGGAAATTCATCCACTACACACCTGGGAAGATTCCGGCCTGCAAAGTGGCTCCGCTCTTGTAGCTTTTAATCCCATCCCCGTTCATATTAAACACACGGTTTCTAAGGGGCGTTTAATACGGATATTAGGAGGAAGGTTTTATTGCATTGAACCATCCAATTTTCGGGTTGAGAGCAGGAGAACCCTCCCAGCGTGCCCTGGAGAGTTCTCAGACGACTCAAAGACTCGGGGCACAGCAAGATTCTAAACATACTGTGGATGGAAGATATCCTGCACCACCTTGGATGGTTGAAACCCTATAATGGGATAAACCATCTATCAACTGGTGCAGGATTTCTTACATCCACCATATCTAAATGTCTAAATGTATCTAAATGTACTGAATGATCTCCGGACATGGCTGTGCAGCCTGAGTTTGTTCTTTGCGAAACCAACGCGGACACGGATTTTTCCGCATCAAAATCAGCATCACGTGCGGCCCGCCCAACGAGGACCCAAACAGTCGACCGGCAGATTTTCCATGACTGATCTGCAAGGAACAGAGATCGCTTCCCAAGAAACTCATGTTCTTAGTTTTGCTGAGTCAGACCGCCATTTGCCGGTTCTGCAATGGTTTCTGTTGGACCAACTGTTGATTCTTGTCACAGGCTTCACAAACCTAGCAGAATTTGATTTTTGATAGTTTATCATAGATCGCCAGATTTAAGGCTATTTTGTGATATTTGTGATGGCATCCCTAATGATAGTATATGACATATGATAATAAACATTCTCGGTGACCCGGTCGGCCATTTTAGTTCCTTAATAAGTTATCCAGATCTTTTCTCGCTCTCAATCTTCATCGTCCACTTCCTCCAGCAGCAAAACCACTTGAGTTTCTCCTCACCACAGATACGACCAGGAAATGACCCGGTTCGGAGACGTGGTAAACTGGTCAAAACTGGGCCAAAACCCGGTAAATCCTTGATGCTCACATTCCAAAACTGAACAAAAGTGGTCTGATTAAGTGTATGTAGGCATGTGAAGAACAAGCCAATCATGTTGATTGCTTGGTATTGGCCCTTGTTATGGCCAGACTGATAGTCCCGTCCCCCTTACAAACAACCTTCCACTTTGAGCCCTTAAACAAGTTTACTACTCACCGCTAACAACCACCGGAGCAGGTTCTCCGAGGGGGTGTTTACTGCTGTGCTGAGTGGGAAAAACTGATGGACATCTATTACAGTAATCATCATCAAAGTGAACCACCATGGACTGTAGGATTCTATATATGGAAAAATCATCTGCAAATCGAGGATTTGCTAAATTCCCGCAGTCTTTGGATGGGATAGAAGCTATGATGACGACCAGGTGACCAGCTACCAATCGGGATGGTCACCAGCATGCGCAGTATCAGTATCCCCTCTCTGTAAAAGATCCAAAAAAACGATGACAGAAAGGTGTCCTCCTTTCACTATCGCCGATAGGAAGCCCTGAATCCGGTACTGCGGTGGAGGAGCCCTACCTTCTAGAAACCCATAGGATCCATGTATGGTAAATGTTAACATAGACCCGGGCAAGCCGGCGGCGGAAGTTTCCCAACAATAAATGACCTATAGTTCGAAGACAACCTGTCCCGACCGTGTCCTTCCCTCGACAAGCGGCTTTTTTTTTTCAGCGAGAGACGAAGCAAAGTCTTCACACACCACACTCCACACTTCACAGTCCACACTTCACACTCCACACTTCACACTTCTCACTGCTTCCTTCACACTCCAAACCTCACGCTTCACACTTCACACTTCACACTGCGCTCTTCGCACTTCACACTCCGCACTTCACACTTCACAGTTCACACTTCTCACTTCCCACTGCTTCCTTCACACTTCACACTTCACACATCTCACTTCGCACTTCACACTCCACACTTCACACTTCACACTTCACAGTCCACACTTCACACTTCACAGTCCACACTTCACACTCCACACTTCACACTTCACAGTCCACACTTCACACTCCACACTTCACAGTCCACACTTCCCACTTCACACTTCACAGTCCACACTTCACACTTCACACTTCAGAGTCCACACTTCACACTTCTCACTGCTTCCTTCGCACTCCACACTTCTCACTTCACACTTCTCACTTCGCACTTCACACTTCACACTTCTCACTTCACCGCACTTCACACTCCACACTTCACAGTCCACACTTCTCACTTCTCACTTCTCACTGCTTCCTTCACACTCCAAACTTCACACTTCACACTTCTCACTTCGCACTTCACACTCCTCACTTCACACTTCACAGTCCACACTTCTCACTTCTCACTGCTTCCTTCACACTCCAAACTTCACACTCCACACTTCACACTTCACAGTTCACACTTCACACTTCTCACTGCTCACTGCTTCCTTCACACTCCAAACTTCACACTTCACACTTCTCACTTCACACTTCACACTTCACAGTCCACACTTCACACTTCACACTTCTCACTTCGCACTTCACACTCCACACTTCACACTTCACACTTCACAGTCCACACTTCACACTTCTCACTTCTCACTGCTTCCTTCACAGTCCAATCTTCACACTTCGCACTTGGCACTTCACACTCCACACTTCACACTTCACACTTCACAGTCCACACTTCACACTTCTCACTTCTCACTGCTTCCTTCACACTCCAAACTTCACACTCCAAACTTCACACTTCGCACTTCACACTCCACACTTCACACTTCCCGCTTCACAGTCCACACTTCACACTTCTCACTTCTCACTGCTTCCTTCACACTCCAAACTTCACACTTCACACTTCACACTTCTCACTTTGCACTTCACACTCCACACTTCACAGTTCACACTTCACACTTCTCACTGCTCACTGCTTCCTTCACACTCCAAACTTCACACTTCACACTTCTCACTTCGCACTTCACACTCCACATTTCACGCTTCACACTTCACAGTCCACACTTCACACTTCTCACTTCTCACTGCTTCCTTCACACTCCAAACTTCACACTTCACACTTCACACTGCACTCTTTGCACTCGAAATTTCACACTCCACACTTCACAGTCCACACTTCACACTTCTCACTTCTCTCACTGCTTCCTTCACACTCCAAACTTCACACTTCACACTTCACACTGCACTCTTCACGCCCCACACTTCACACTGCACTCTTCACACTCCACACTTCATCTCATCTGAGCTCTTCTCACCTTATCCCAGCTCATCTCTTCTCACCTCGTCCCTTCTCATTTGTCATCTATTAAGCTTTCATTAATCAATTCCCAGCACTATTACTAATCACTGTCGCACCCTTGATGCACCCACTCCAATACGATTTACGAAGTCCAGCTGCAAAAGACAATAGTATTGCGCATGCAGCCGCGGCACCAAGCAACCTTGACGCAGCCACTACATGGCGATCTGCAAAGACTGAGTTGGAAAACATAGTAGAACTACGCGCAACGGGGTCGGAAATTGTAGCTCCAAAACCGGATTTCGACGCCAAAGCGAAAAAAAGACGATTTTGAAGCACTTTTTAAAAGGATTTTTAGAAGGAAAATCACTAGCGCCAAAATGGAGAAAATCTGCTGACAAATCATTGTCGCAGCCTTCATGCAGCCACTCTGATACGATTTACGAAGCCCAGCTGCAAAAGACAATAGTATTACGCATGCATCCAAAGCAGGAAGCAACCTTGACGCAGCCACTACAATGCGATCTGCAGAAACTGAGTTGCAAAACACAATAGAACTACGCGCAACGGCGTCGGAAATTGTAGCTTCAAAACCGGATCTCGATGCCAGAGCGAAAGAAAGACGATTTTGAAGCACTTTTTGAAAGGATTTTTAGAAGGAAAATCACTAGCGCCAAAATGGAGAAAATCTGCTGACAAATCACTGTCGCAGCCTTCATGCAGCCACTCCAATACAATTTACGAAGTCCAGCTGCAAAAGACGATAGTATTACCCATGCATCCAAAGCAGGAAGCAACCTTGACGCAGCCACTACAATGTGATCTGCTGAGACTGAGTTGCAAAACACAATAGAACTACGCGCAACGGTGTCGGAAATTGTAGCTCCAAAACCGGGATCTCGACGCCAGAGCGAAAAAAAGACGATTTTGAAGCACTTTTAAAAAAAAATTTAGAAGGAAAATCACTAGCACCAAAATGGAGAAAATCTGCTGACAAATCATTGTCGCAGCCTTCATGCAGCCACTCTGATACGATTTACGAAGCCCAGCTGCAAAAGACAATAGTATTACGCATGCAGCCAAAGCAGGAAGCAACCTTGACACGATCTGCAAAGACTGAGCCGCAAACCGCAATCCCATTTACATTGCGGGAACGATCCTACAGTTGCAAAGCGCAATGGAATTCCATCGGCAACTCATCCACCAGCAACACTTGCAATCCCATTTACATTGCGGGAAGGATCCTACAGTTGCCAATCACAATGGAATTGCATCGGCAACTCATCCAGCAGCACCACTTGCAATCCCATTTACATTGCGGGAACGATCCTACAGTTGCAAATCACAATGGAATTCTGTCGACCGCACATGCACGAAAAACAGTTGAAACCCCATTTACAATGCGGAACCGATCCGAGCATGATCCGAGGATGATCCGACCACACACGAGACCGTCTCGCACCCGTCGCACCGCAGAGGTAGATCATCGAGGTTCGGGGACGCACTTTGTCTGGAAAAACATAGGGTTTCGTGCATCTGCTATCTCTCAAAAACGCATTTCGTGCGAGACTTCCTTCAAAACTCCATCGGCAACTCATCCACCAGCACCACTTGCAATCCCATTTACATTGAGGGAACGATCCTACAGTTGCCAATCACAATGGAATTCCATCAGCAACTCATCCACCAGCACCACTTGCAATCCCATTTACATTGCGGGAACGATCCTACAGTTGCAAATCACAATGGAATTCTGTCGACCGCACATGCACGAAACACAGGTGGAACCCCATTTACAATGCGGAACCGATCCGAACATGATCCGCCCATGATCCGACCACACACGAGACCGTCTCGCACCCGTCGCACCGCAGAGGTAGATCATCGAGGTTCGGGGACGAACTTTGTATGGAAAAACATAGGCTTTCGTGCATCTGCTATCTCTCAAAAACGCATTTCGTGCGAGACTTCCTTCAAAACTCCATCGGCAACTCATCCACCAGCACCACTTGCAATCCCATTTGCATTGCGGGAAGGATCCTACAGTTGCAAATCACAATGCCCTAACTAACTCTTTCCCTCACTAACTCTTTCTTTGACTAACTCTTTCCCTGACTAACTCTTTCTTTGACTAACCCTTTCCCTGACTAACTCTTTCTTTGACTAACTCTTTCCCTGACTAACTGTTTCTTTGACTAACTCTTTCTTTGACTAACTCTTTCCCTGACGAACTCTTTCTTTGCTAACTCTTTCTGTGACTAACTCTTCTCTCACGAATCTTATGTGACTAACTTCTTTCATGACTAACTGTTTCTTTGGGGACTAACTCTTTCTTTGACTAACTCTTTCCCTGACGAACTCTTTCTTTGCTAACTCTTTCTTTGACTAACTCTTTCCCTCACTAACTCTTTCTTTGACTAACTCTTTCCTTGACTAACTGTTTCTTTGCTAACTCTTTCTTTGACTAACTCTTTCCCTCACTAACTCTTTCTTTGACTAACTCTTTCCCTGACTAACTGTTTCTTTGCTAACTCTTTCTTTGACTAACTCTTTCCCTGACTAACTCTTGCTTTGACTAACTCTTTCCCTGACTAACTGTTTCTTTGCTAACTCTTTCTTTGACTAACTCTTTCCCTCACTAACTCTTTCTTTGACTAACTCTTTCCCTGACTAACTCTTTCTTTGACTAACTGTTTCTTTGACTAACTCTTTCTTTGACTAACTCTGTCCCTGACATTCTAAAAGTCCGTAACACGGAAGTTTCTCCCCCTAAACTTCCTTTGACCATATATAGCATGCATGGATCCTATGGGTAATGTTGGAGGTCAAATTAGCTCGGAGTAGTTTCCAAATGCTACGAAACGAATCTATAGAGCCAACTTTCTCTCGAAAATCCCAGACGAATACCTTTTTTGTATCCAATGTTAACGGGTCTTTTTGGCAGGAAAAATCTTCTTTTCAGCTTTTCGCTTCTCCCAAGCTGGACTGAACACTGTCCATAAACCATGGGCCAACCTTTGTCAAATGGTAGGATGGGAGACAAGATTTCGTGATATGACTCTGACCTAATATGATTTAACATGCCTGTCCTGTGGATGGACGGTTCAAAAATCTTGCACCAGTTCCTAACTATTGCGATTCCTATGAAACACCGTTACCGGGAATTTAGGGATTGTAACGGGATAAAGTGCCTATCTGCCAACTGGTGCAGGATTTCGCAACCTGTGGATCCAGCTTCAAAGCCTGGTCGAATAAATGTCCAAAATGCTCCAATAAAATCCACCCTTGGGTTGCTTGCCGTCGTACAAGGTTAGCAAATGCGTGTGTAAATGCCAGGCAAAAGAAAGGTCCTTTAGTGGTTGCGAATTTCAATTACAGCAAGCCCAAAACAATCCAAAACATATCATCCCTGCCAAGAAAACCATGTTTGAAGCCACCAACCAATTTTTACGTCGGTGGAACCCTGGTGCGGTCACCTTTGTGAAAAATTCACCAACCTTTTTTTGGTTCCGCCACCCATTGGGATGCTCCCACGATTCCCATCATAAAAAAGTGACGCAAACCTCAACGAATTTGACCGGTCCTGCATCTGTGGCCACCATCTGGGGAGCGGCTCGGTGTGGCTAGATTTTTCATGGTGAGTCAAGCGTAATAATCATTGGATAACATTTACCCTCTGGTGATGTCAAAATAGCTATGGAAAATGGATGAAAATGGCACATAGATTTATAGATGATTTTCCCAGCTATAAACCTCCATTTATCAGGGATTTTCCATGGCAAAATGTTAAATAACCAGATGGTAAATTTTCCATAGATGATTTACCTATTACAATCGTGCTTTTCCAGTTCGCTATGTTGAAATTACCGGATTGGGTCAAGGGAGAAATTACAGTAAAGTCCTCTGTATAAATATATATATATAATTAATGATTAAAAAAAAAACGATGGTTTCCGGATGTTTCCGGTTAAGATTTTCCCAAACAAACCAATCCATTGAAATAAACCCTGAACCGATTGGAATCATATGCATTCAAGATATGCTAAATCCAGGGCTATCCATAGAAACTGATGATATTTCATCCATCTCTAACCATATTTAACTGGAATAGTTATCCCGCGTCTATCCAAGAATCTACTGTACTAGGTTCTACATCTTTTTCACCAACGGATTTTCCCAGTTCTAATGGATCCAAAGAAGTCTACCATCATCCGCCGCGACGGCAGAATGAGATCAATCTCTCCATCAATCTTCGATTTGAAGCAATGATGATAGGGGTACAACATGGTACAACCTATTTTCGACAAATCTGGGTAAATCATAATATTTCACTAACCTGAATAGTTCGGCCCATTTGGGGATGATTTCCCTTATTAACTATGATTCGAGTGAGGTCGCAGTGAGGATATGGAGAGATGATTTCTCCAGAATTGAAGGGACGGACACGTCCAGGCGACTGTTGAGTTGGGCTGATGACTGACCCATAACTATCGGACAACCCACATGTGGCGCTGGCAAGAAAATCGTGCCTCAATTTATGTCTGGCTAAAGGAATTCATAATGCTCGGATTTAAAAGCATCGATTTGCTGGTTTCCCCAATGCAATCTCAACATATCTCAACGATCATCTAGATGTCGTAAAGGATATCGCTGTGATTCTCCAGAAAGATACACGTACCGTGTGTCCAAACATGGAATCCTCTGTTGAATCATCCGATGATTCATGGCCATGTTGGGGGGTAGCCCCCATTTTCAGAACCCGTTTCTGTGTCTTTGGTGCCCCTATAATATAGGTTTTCCCATCCTTTCTGCCCATATCTGCCCCTCCAGAGCAAGCCTTCACCCGCAGGGCCGTATTCACGGGCAGCACGAATTCAGGAGGTGCTTCCCGGGGGGCAGAGCGAAAGACCTCACAGCTTTGCCATGCTGAGGAATTGTTGCATTCGTCCTCCCAGCTTTTCACATAGGAGTTCTTATGCCCATCGCAAATTTCACATAGAATTGTAGAAATCTCAAATCTGATGGGTCCACATAATTTACCAGATTCTGTTTTGGGCATATCAATCTCCCATCATCGAGTCTACCATCCCCCTCAGTGCAGCAACTTATGGATCATGTGGCCTGCGACCCTGGCTGAAAGGCACTCGAGATTTGGCTGCCCTTCACATGCCAACAGTTATGCTTGCACTGGTATTTCTTAGTACATGTTTGCCATGATCAAAACACCTTCCTTGAGGAAGATATCATCATCCCATCATGACCGGGATTCTTTTCACAACTGGCAAAATTTTGACGCTCTACAAGGGAACATGACCATACCCAAGTCCCCTAGACGCCTTGGGAGCAGCATGGGGGGGTTGGGCTCATATGATGGCTTCCTAAGTCATGGGGGGACCCCCAAAATCATCCATTTTGAATCATTTTAATATGATTTTCCATGAAATAAACAATCCAGCTACCTATATTACCTATATCCAGAAGGACCTTTTTTTGCCGCCGCGGCACTGAGATATCACTGGCACTTCGTGGTGCATCAAGTTGCACTACAAAGCCACCCAAGGCGTGAGCAGCTTGCAGTATGGGCTCCTAGGAGATCAATCTTGGTGAATTCACCAATGGATGTGGTAACAAGATGGTGTACCAATGGAGCTAACAAGCTGCAATCAGGTTGAAAACAACTAGGCTAAGTGGGGGTTATGGTGATTGTAACTATAGTTGGATTTGGAGCTAACAATGCCAATGGTGATGTTGGTCCCAAATTATTCAATGTTGTCCGGAAATGAAGGGTCATAAACAAAAGATGGAAGTCCCAAACCAACCAGCTCACTTGTTCCCCAACCTGACCATAAGCCGATTTGGGTTGTGCACTCCTGCAAGTTGGAGCCCATCAGTTATGCTTGTTGGCGTATAACTTCATTAACTAGCGTTGTAACTACTATGTTATTGGAGTTACAGTGAAACTTGCTATCATCAATCAGATAAATCAACTATCAATCAGATAATTCAACTATTAATCTGGTTGGTGGTGCAATGTGCCCATCTTGAAAAATATTAGAGTCAATGGGAAGGATGACATCCCATATATGAAATGGAAAATAGAAGTCATGTTCCAAACCACCAACCAGTAATTCGTGATGTTTCACATTTTTTGATGGTTGAATCAAGTTGAATCCCGCTCCTTGCTACTGCTCCAGCTGGTGTAGGTGGGCCAGTACACCTGCCGGCTGGATTTTGATAGGCGGATCACATAGCCTCAAAAAATGGAGAGGTCAAACCCTCCTATCTTAAACAAGTGGATACATTAGGTGTTGTGTTGTACGTGAAGAAATCAAAACAAAAGCTATTTACTACGTTGGTACATAGAAGTCAAATCTACTTCATTGCATAGTGCTAAACAAGTTTTCTATTGATTTCTGGGATTGCAATGAGGTAAACCCAACAATCAACCATGCCATTTAAGATATGCACTCAAGTACCATTTCCACAATGCCATTTCTGGGTACTCCACATACTAAAAACAAGTCTGTGACGTTGGGTTTACGACACCAAGGAGGCCGTAAGCCAACCCTCATTGCAAGGGCGGCCAAAAGAAGTGGAGCTTCAAGAAGAAAGTGGCCATAAAATCTGTGGATTTGCGGGGCACTGACATTTTCAGGCGGGCAATGGCGGGCATACGTGAATTCATGCAGTACACTAACACAAGCAAAATGACTACAGTTTTCCCAATGAAATGTAGAAGCGCTCAGTTCCACGAGCAGACTCGAGTTTGAGATCAAATGTTGCTATGCCGCGCAACTCACAAAAGACTGATTCTATGTCTACAACGTGGTGAACTGCAATTAGCTGAGTTGGGCTATTACATTTTACAACTAGGCTAACTGGGGTTTATGGTGATTGTAACTAGAGTTGAATGGGTGATAAACCAACAACGAGAAGGGGCACCAGTTTAACCTCTTGCTTTGATCGTTTCAGGCCAATCCCATCCCCGGATCCTATTTGAACACACCCATTGTATGATCCCAGACATGTGGATTTATCCCCTACTAAACCATTTTTTCTGGGCGATGTTTGATGCTATGGGTCCATAATTCACCCCAAACCTGAGATTTACACCATTCTAGGACATGGTTTCTACTCATTTGAAGTATCAACCAGACTAGATTGCGATATTTCACAAACTGAAATGAAGTCTCTATGATGTGGTGATTTTACCCTGTGGTAATCAAACGTGGCAATAGAAAATAAACCATTTATAGATGATTTTTCCCAGCTACAAAACTTCATTTCTGGGGAATTGTTGCAGCTAAACATGTTTGATTACCATTAAAATCATTAATATCTTGGGGTTATCCCATGATTATCCCCATTAAACCATAATAAAACATAATAAAACCATATAAAAGCCATATTAAATTATTCCATTATCATCTCCATGTTTCCATATGTTTCTACTCAAATTCCCATTTTTTTTGAGTTAAATCCTCCATGGATTTTCCCCGTTCCATGGATTCCCTTGCCCGGGCAGGTGCTCCTCCTCTCCGACAGAAAACTCGTGAATCTGCTCCAGGCATTCGTTCATCATTACACCTCAAAGTTGTTTTTGTTGCCCCAAACATGGGCATGGGATGGGCACATGCATATGGGTCAAAATGGTCAAAATCTAAGACCTGGGGCCCTGGGGCACCACAGATCGTAGATGATTTTAGTATATGTCTGTATGTTCATGTTTTTCCCGAGAGCGTCTGAGCGAAGGGTTCTTCTAATAGTGGAGGTCTGCTATACATCTTCATATGTTCGCATTTTCATCGCATCTTCTCATCTTCTGATTTTCACATCTTTACACCTTCACATCTTCACATCTTCTCATCTTCACACCTTCACATCTTCACATCTCTCTTTCACATCTTCACATCTTCACATCTTCTCATTTTCACATCTTCACATCTTCTCTCTCTCTCTCCTTCTCTCTCCCTCTTCTCATCTTCACACCTTTTCATCTTCTCTCTCTCGCCTTCTCTCTCCCTCTCTCTTTCTTTCTCTCTCTGTCTCTCTCTCTCTCTCTCCCTCTCTGTCTCTTGCCCTCTGTCACGGTCTCTCTCTTTCTTTTTCTTTTCTCTCTTATAAGGCCGCGGGCAGTGCCGACGAGGCGCCACGAAGTGGCCACCCTTTCGCACGAAATGAAGTTCGAGTGTCAAAAACTGAGGTAAAATTGCGATTTTGGAACTTCCGCGGCAACCTTTTCGCACGAAATGAAGTTCGAATGTCGAAAATTGAAGTAAAATGCGATTTTGGAACTTCCGCACGAAATGAGGTTCGATTGTCAAAAACTGAAATAAAATTCAGATTTTGGAACTTCCGCGGCAACCCTTTCGCACGAAATGTCAAAAACTGAAATAAAATTGCAATTCTAGATCCTTGGCGGCAACTCTTTCGCACGAAATGAAATTCGAATTTCAAAAATTGAAGTAAAATTGCAATTTTGGAACTTCCGCGCGACATGAAATTTGAATGTCAAAATAAAAATTGAAGTGAAATTGCGATTTTGGAGCTTCCGCACGAAATGAGGTTCGAGTGCCGCTCGTGGAAGCCCGCAGCAGGGGAGTGGAGTGGTTGCTCACTGCAGTGGATGCTCTGAAGTGGATTCAAGTGGATGCTATGATGTTCAAGAATGTAAGCACACATCGCAAAGTTTCTAGCAATCAAATGCAGGTCCCCAAAATGTTGTAGCTGTACTAACATCATGTCGCGCCTGGCAACCGATTGCTTTGCAGCTGCGGGGAGATTGCAATATACTTCGTTTCGAACAGGTTGATTTGAACGATGCGCTGTTGGTATCCATTCATGACTGGATGGACGCCGGTTCGAGAGAATTGTACATCTACGACCAAGTGCACATGAACGGCCCTCCTGAAATGGGCCGTCATTTCTGGGGCCATTTGCCACTATCTTGGATGCATGAGCTCATGCTGGGTTATTCTGTTTTCAAATGAAGAAGCAAGAGATGATGATGTGTCGAAAATGTCAAAATTGGAGAAAGACTCGCACGAAATGCTCGGTTTTCTGCACCCACGTGTCTCGTCTCGAGTCTCTGTGGCGTCGCCGTGTCTATGGGGGAAGCTCCGCACTCCACATTCCACAATTTACACTCCTCACTCCACAATGTACACTTTAGACTCCACACTCCACACTCTACACTCCACACTCCACACTTTACACTCCACACTCCACACTTTACACTCCTCACTCCACACTCTACACTCTACACTTTACACTCTACAATCCACACTCTACACTTTACACTCTACACTTTACACTCTACACTCCACACTCCACACTCTACACTTTACACTCCGCACTCCACACTCTACACTTTACACTCTACACTTTACACTCTACACTCCACACTCTACACTTTACACATTCCACACTCCTCACTCCACACTCTACACTCCACACTCCTCGCTTTACACCCCACATTCCGCACTCCACACTACACTTTCCACTGCACACTCCACACTCCACACTCTACACTTTACACTCTACGCTTTTCACTCTACACTCCACACTCCACACTCTACACTTTACACTCTACACTCTACACTCCACACTTTACATTTTACACTCCACACTCTACACTCCACACTCTACACTCTACACTCCACACTCCACGCTCCACACTCTACACTCCACACTCCACACTTTACACTCCTCACTCCACACTTTACACTCCACACTCCACTGTTTACACTCCTCACTCCACACTCTACACTTTACACTCTACATTCCACACTCTACTACTTTACACTCCTCACTCCACACTCTACACTTTACACTCTACAATCCACACTCTACACTTTACACTCCTCACTCCATACTTTACACTTTACGCTCCACACTCCACACTTTACACTCCACACTTTACACTCCTCACTCCACACTCTACACTTTACACTCTACATTCCACACTCTACACTTTACACTCTACACTCCACACTCCACACTCTACACTTTACACTCTACACTCTACACTCCACACTTTACATTTTACACTCCACACTCTACACTCCACACTCTACACTTTCCACTCCACACTCCACGCTCCACACTCCACACTCCACACTTTACACTTCACACTCCTGACTCCACACTTTACACTTCACACTCCTCACTCCACACTTTACACTCCACACTCCACACTTTACACTCTACAATCCACACTCTACACTCTGCATTCTACACTTTACACACTCTACACTCCCCACTCCACACTTTACACTCCACATTCCACACTCTACACTTTACACTCTACACTCTACACTTCACACTTTACACTCTACATTCCACACTCTACACTTTACACTCTACACTTTACACTCCACACTCCACACTCTACACTTTACACTCCACACTCCACACTTTACACTTTACACTCCTCACTCCACACTCCACTCCACACTCCTCACTTTTCACTCCACACTCCACACTCTACACTTTACACTCCGCACTCTACACTTTACACACTCTAGACTCCCCACTCCACACTTTACACTCCACACTCCTTACTTTACACTCTACACTTTCCACTCCACACTGCAGACTGGTAACAGGGGAAATATGCACGAGACTGTTCAAATAAACCATTGCAGAAAAGTGTTCTGCGTGACTGCATATCCATGTGTTTTGACATCTGTATCATTAACATACGTGTTAGCATTCGGGTTCGTGGGCTGCATCTTGTTTTTTTTATTTTTTTGTCAAACCCTATATTCTCTGTGTTGCCGGTCTCTTCTACGCCCTCTCGAGCACGCTGTCAACGCCTTGCAGGACCGCGTCCACTTCCTGAAACGAAAGAGAGCTGCACTACCACGAGCAAAGATGTGAGGCTCAACTGGCGACATGCCTCGTGGACTGTCTGCAAGACTTCCTCTGCTTTCGTGATCTTCGCGTTGAGGTGTAGCAGGGATGTGGACAGCCGTGCCTGGGCGGAGGAAAGAGTGATGCATGGAATGAAGTCAATTCCACATCCATTGAAAAGACTTGCGAATGTTATTTGGGAACTTGTCCAATATGCCAACAATCTTGGTGAATATCCTTGAATTTATTGTTCGAAGATTCACGTGCAATTGATTCTTTCTGGTGCCCAGTACGTGGGCTTTCCTGGACTCTGAGTTCCCAAAACCAATCATGTGATATCATGTGCAGTTCTTGTTGCACCCATGTACATTCGCTTGACAGCGTCAGTGTTCTTCGCACTGAGAAGCTTCAACATGTGCGAAAGGCCAAACAGATTGCGAACGGTCCTTGCGACCAGATATTGCATTGGATTGTCGAAACAAGCCTTGCATTCGCGTGTCATTATCTTCCAAATGTTTGTGGAAATTTTAGTTCGAACTTCGCTGCAAGAACGTTTCGTTCTTATCAAACACCAGATCATGTTTGCACCGCTCAGCATTGTTTTCACTTTCTCAAGCGCAAACAGGTCACAAAGTGCCATGGCACACAGCTAGACTGACACCTTAGATTGCGACTCGGTGGGAAGGACATCAGGCCGTCTAGGATTTATGGCGGATATAGTTCAGTTATAGTTAATGAGGTTTATGAACCAAGAAAGAGACCCGGGGGTCCTCACCCTTTGGGAAATGGAACAGTCAACCCTGTAAATTGATTTGCCCACTAAAAATGAGGGTGTCCGACGCTAGTCATGTCGACTTGCTTCTGGGATGTTGTGCGTGCTAAATAACCCCAATATCACTTTCTGTGGTTCCCGGCCAATTCTCTACTGTTAAGACCCCGTGTAGAACAGAGAAAGTGGATTTTAGCAAAAAAAACAAAAATTTTAAAAAAAAACACAATCAAAAACAGAATCACCAACAAAACAACTCGACAGGAAGAGCCACCAGAAAAATAGAAAAACAAGAAAAAACAAAATAACAAAATAAAATCAAAACCTGCATTTTCCTCAGTTTTTGTTTTTTTTTGTTTTTTGTTGTTTTTTTCTTGTTTTTTCTTGTTTATCTTGTTGGCGTGTGGTTTTTTTTAATTTTTTTATTTTTTCCTTGTTTTTTCCTTGATTTTGGTTTTCTAGTTTGTTTTTTTTGTTCGCTCCGGTTTTGTTTTTCCCGAATGCGTAGCAAGGGTTCCCGTTTCACTCTGGGGGTCTAGGGGTTGAGGGATCCCCTTGCCAATACACGGGTATAACCTGGGCGTTCCAATTTTATAGGGGGCCCAGGCCTATCCTTTGAAAATGCCCTTTTGGGACCCTCTATATACAAAATTAAAGTCCTGGCAGGCACATACATAATCAGCCTTATAAAATCACAACCTGCTAGTAACCCATCAATGTCATCAAACCCAAAAACACTACAAAATTGCAGTGCCCAGGTTAAACCTGTGCAGAGTATTAGCTCCAAATTGACCTCTATAAAATTAGGGCCATCCAAAATGGCTTGATCATAGGTGTTTTTTAAAATTAAAATTTGATGTCCCAAGTCGAATTTTGCGGGGGCCTCTATTTTCCTCCAATTATGTGGTCCCCAATTTTTGTCTCAGTTAAAGTAATGCCCCAATTCTGTAGACTGAAGTTTTGGGGTCATCAATCGAAGGCACAAAAGTCAAACCATTTCAAACCAACTATTGTAATCATTGAAAGACATTGCCCAAGAAAATTGTAATCATTGCATGTGAAAATATCCAGCAAATCTAGGCACACAACACTATAAAGTTAGGGACTTGAACTCCTATATATTCCTACACCCTAGAAAATTAGCAACCTGCTGCATGCCAAGGAAGAGAAGCTTGACGACACTGCAAACTTCTGTTTCTGCAGCTGAAGCTGCTGAGGCTGCTCCACAGTGCCTTTGCATGCCTTTGCCTTGCGGGATCCTTTTGGAGAGCACCCCCCCCTAAAGAATTGGAGCCCCTGATCGAAGGCAGTTTTTAGGGACTATAAAATGGCAGCCCTCAAGGTCCACCCAGAACCTGACATTTTTTAATTTTTGTTTGGTTTTTCTTAAAGCATGTAGAAGCACGATGTAAGAAGCCATCAAATCCCATCACATCCCATCAAATCCCATCAAATCCCATCAAATCCCCACATATCATCACATATCATGTCATATCATATCATCACATATCCCCAGTATAAAATTAGGGACTGCTGTTTCTGCAGCTGAAGCTGCTGAGGCTGCTTCTACACTGCCTTTGCATGCCTTTGCCTTGCGGGATCCTTTTGGAGAGCACCCTATAGAATTGGAGCCCCTGATCGAAGGCAGTTTTTAGGGACTATAAAATGGCAACCCTCAAGGTCCACCCACAAAGCCTGACATTTATTAAAATCATTTTTTGGTTTTTCTTAAAGCATGTAGAAGCACGATGTAAGAAGCCATCAAATCCCATCACATCCCGTCAAAACCCATCAAATCCCATCAAATCCCCACATATCATCACATATCATGTCATATCATATCATCACATATCCCCAGTATAAAATTAGGGACTGCTGCTTCTGCAGCTGAAGCTGCTGAGGCTGCTTCTACACTGCCTTTGCATGCCTTTGCCTTGTGGGATCCTTTTGGAGAGCACCCCCCCTATAGAATTGGAGCCCCTGATCGAAGGCAGTTTTTAGGGACTATAAAATGGTAGCCCTCAAGGTCCACCCACAAAGCCTGACATTTATTAAAATCATTTTTTGGTTTTTCTTAAAGCATGTAGAAGCACGATGTAAGAAGCCATCAAATCCCATCACATCCCAAAAAACCCATCAAATCCCATCAAATCCCCACATATCATCACATATCATGTCATATCATATCATCACATATCCCCAGTATAAAATTAGGGACTGCTGCTTCTGCAGCTGAAGCTGCTGAGGCTGCTTCTACACTGCCTTTGCCTTGTGGGATCCTTTTGGACCCTTTTGGTTGCCCGGGTTTTTATGGAAGTGGCGTGTTGGTGAAGTTTGACATGATTTGGAAGGTGAAAATGTGTTCATGATTTTTCTGCTGTTTTAATATGTTTCAATTAAATGTATTGATGTGGTTCATGAAATTTATGTGTTCTTATACATTTTTTGAAATGTTTTTGTTCATGTCTTTCTCTTCTCCACCATGCGCATTGCACATGCTTGAGCGCTCTGATGTAGCAAAAACAAATGTGCTATAAAATTGGGACCCTGGAATGCAGCACATTGCAGGTAGCTACAAAATTGGAACCCTTTGGTGACCAAGCTGTTTCATGAAACCATGCATTGATACACTATAAAATTGGCAACTGAACAAAACCATACAAAACCGACACATGTCCCTATAGAATTGGAGCCTGCTATAAAATTGGAGCCCTATAGGTCACTAAATTTAGGCACCAAAAAAATATATAAAATTAGGACCCGGAGTTTTGAGCTAAAATTAGAGCCCGCCAAAACAAGGCAAACAGGGCAGCTGAAATTGAGGGGGGAACCTGTATAAAAAAAATCGTTTTATACAGCACCTAGGTGTCCCAATTCTATAAGGGAAGCTGGCCAGGGGATATTTTTTATATTGGAGCCCGCCAGCGAGGTATTTAATGGAAGGCCGAAACAATTTCATTGCGGTGTTTCCTTCAATCTACGAGCTAACAAGCTGCAAGCATCCTTTGAATGCCAATCCGTCACAATGCATTGTTCACATACATGTGAACCATTCATTTAACCCCGTCCTACCCACACAAACGTTAATTTGGGGTGCCCAAAATTATCTTACCCAAGAACGGAAATTCCTTCCTCCTAATACGAAATACCTCGCCGGAGTTTCAACATTGCGATTTTGGAACTTCCGCGGCAACCCTTTGGCACGAAATGAAATTCGAATGTCAAAAATTGAAGTAAAATTGCGATTTTAGATCCTTGGCGGCAACTCTTCTGCACGAAATGAAATTCGAGTGTCAAAAATTGAAATAAAATTGTAATTTTAGATCCTGGCGGCAACCCGTTCGCACGAAATGAAGTTCGAGTGTCAAAAACTGAAGTAAAATTGCAATTTTAGATTCTCGGCGGCAACCCTTTCGCACTAAATAAAGTTCGAGTGTCAAGCACTGTAGTTTTTTGCGAGTTTTGCCGTTCCGGCGGCAACCCTTTCGCAATGAAGTTCAAGTGTCAAAAATTGAAATAAAATTGCAATTTTAGATCCTCAGCGGCAACCCTTTGGCACGAAATGAAATTCGAATGTCAAAAACCGTAATAAAATTGCGATTTTGGAACTTCCGCGGCAACCCTTTGGCACGAAATGACGTTCGAGTGTCAAAAATTGAAGTAAAATTGCAATTTTAGATCCTTGGCGGCAAGTCTTCTGCACGAAATGAAATTCGAGTGTCAAAAACTGAAAAATTGCAATTTTAGATCCTAGGCGGCAACCCTTTCGCGCGAAATGAGGTTCGAATGTCAAAAATTGAGGTAAAATTGCGATTTTACGGTGGCCTCGGCAACGCTTTCGCACGAAATGACGTTCGAGTCTAGAAGCCGGTGTGTGCGAAAGGGTTTGTGTGTCAAAGCATTTGTCTGTAAAAGCATTTGTGTGTAAAAGCGTTTCTGTGTAGAAGGATTGCGTGTAAAAGCGTTTGCGTGCAAACGTGTTTGTAGAAGTGTTGGTGTGTAAAAGTGTTTGTGTCTAGAAGTGTTTAGAAGCGTGGGTGTGTAAAAGCGATTGTGTCTAGAAGCGTTTCTGTGCACAAGCGTTTTGTGTGAAAATTGTCTGTCTCAATTCTTCTTCCTGTGTCTCCTTCGTTTCATCTTTCTTTTCTTTCTCCTTCAATTTCTTCATATATGCACCTACTTTTCACAACATGTCTGCACCATGTCTCATCATTTTACGCATCATCGTATAGTTCTATCTTTACGTTTCATGCTATTAGATTGTCATATTTCTCCCTCTCACGATGCTCCTCTACGCTCTCGGGCCATCGTCGAGTTTCGTAACCATCCAATGATTGGGCACCCAATTTTGACCCATGGCCCCATGGAAAGTGCACCCCAAGTGAATAATCATAATTTAGAACAAAAAACCTGGTTGGTGGTTTCAACCCTCTGAAAAATATTAGTCAGTTGGTATTATTCCCAATATATGGAAAAATAAAAAATGTTCCAAACCACCAACCAAAATAACAATTGTTAACTATGGTGAAATTGACTATGGTTACAGTTGCTAATCAAAATATTCACATATTAACTATGGCAAGTGAATAACAATTGTTAAGCATAGTGAAAAAGCCCAGCTATATGGGTGAATCTGGAAATTAGGTATATCCGGTATACCCCCCAAATTGCAATTTTAATCGGGAAAATAAGAATTGCTGGTTGGGCTCGTTGAGCCAGCCATCTGAAAAAAATCGCAAAAGTCAGGTGGGCTCATAATCCCAACCAGATGATCAATCATTACTTATAGCAAGATTATATATGATCCACACTGTACTTAACCAAAATCATGGTCATCATAATTGTTACGTGGGGTTGTACTGGTTGCTTTATTGACCGGAAATTTGGCTCTTGAACACTGCTCACATGTCAACAAAGCTTCGATACCAAGGGGGTGATCTGTTGATTTTCCCTGCTAGAGCTTAACTTTGGATGGGATTGAAGGGAAAACCAATCTAATCTTTCAAAGGCACCAGAAATCCAAAGGTATTGCTACAACCCATCCAGATTCACATAGCCGACATAGCCAAAAACCAGCCGCGTGGTCCGGGTTTTGAAAAGAAGATTTTTGAGGGGCACAAAATAATGCTCCGCCTTGCGCTTTGGGGTATCAATGGGTTCACAAGTTTGAAGCCCTGAACATGGAAGCCCAAATAATGCGATAATGAAAAGAAGCTATTGGAAATGGACATATTTGAATTCCATCTGCAATTTCAGGGTCAAATGTGGTCATGGTGATTTTGATTGAATCATTTCAGTATCAAAATACGTCACAAATTTGTGACTCGATATTGACATTGTATTTCAACTGGATTCCCCGTGGTCACTTAAATCCACATTTCCTACTTTAGCAGAATCCCAATTTCGGCCGTATCCCATATCATATTTGTTTGCCTGGCAGCAATTGAGTCGCGGTGAGTTTTATGGCACCTGCACTCATTTTATAAACCCTGAAGGGTTGGTTTCTGATGTTTCTGTTGGCTGCTGAAGCTTGATGGGGCGAGAAAACATCTGCACCAACGGAGTCAACCGGAACCCAATGACAGCTGGTGCATCTCGCAACCCGCCCCACTCTGCCAGGGGGCAAAACAAGCTCGGAGGTTGAAGCGTCACTGGTTGGCACTTCTCAAGTGCTTTCCTAGGCAATGACAGTTGCGGCTATGTTGCAATCCCCTTCCGGAAACTTCAAATATCCATGGCCCTCCTCCGTTTAGCATGGAACACTTCAGCCAAGGTTCTTAAAATGCTGAGTGCAAATCGTCATCTCCACATCTTCAAGCTCATGTAGCACCAAGGCCGAGACTTTCGCCGCAAAGTTCATCTTCACATCAGCTTGCCTGGATCCAAATATTTAATGTTGACCAAGGATTCATAAACCCTCGGCTTATCGGTGGTTTAAAGGTTTTAATAGCAAGTTAGAATAATCCCCCAATGAACTCCTTAGTTCCTATTCATTTGCAGTATTCACCAAATGGGTGTGTCTCAAATTGTCCCTCCCATTTCATGGCCTTTGAACAAACGGAAAAACGATGAAAATGATGAAATAAGCCATGGATTGTTTGACGAACGATTTAGCATGTCAGCAATTCTGATCCAGGATCCAAGGTCTGTGCCGGCTATTTTTTTTGCTGCTTGGTGGTTTCTGTCGAGAAAAAATAGGTCAATTGTGTGCCAAAGTCCAGCGGTTAATCCTCAAATTTGGAGCTATACCCGATTGGATATTTGGGCTATGGCTATATTAGAATTTAAGTGGAGGTATAATTCATAAAGATTCATACACATCTTTCCATCCCGATTTGTACAGGGAAAATTCCATGGACCCAGTTGCTTCCACTTCTTCCTGAGCTCCATGGTGTAGCACAGCAGGGCATACAGCTCATGCTCCGTGAGGCTTGAGACCGGCGGGGGAGTCTGCCGCCGGAGTGCCTTCTTGATGTGGATGCACTCCTTTGAGCAAAAAAAACGGAGAGCAACCCCACTAAAAATGCAGCAAGGGGCTCACCAACATTAGCTCAGCTGGCTCGTAACTAGGCGAAATGTGTTGGATTGGTGGATATATCGAACTAGTTAGATGGGTTTTTAACCAACGAACATAACCGATGTGGGCCCTTTCCTTTAGGAAATTTATATCACGATGTGGGCAAATTGTAAAATGTTACAAGCTCTAAGCAGGATTCAACCCTTGAAATTGCAAAAAAAACATTAATCTACCAAAGAAAGCTTGCATATTGGTATGTGGAAAGCTGTAACAGTGTCACAACATGAAATAAACGCTTCAAATGGGTGGTTTCCCCCAATCCTAAGACGGGGTTCCGTCAGACTCTGAATATGTTCATTCGTCCTATACGGGAGATGTTTTATTTCGAGGAATGGAATTACGTAATATTACATAGCTCTCAAGGTTACCACATGTAGGAAAATTTCACCATGCGTCTCAGCATATTCTCATATTTCACTGGACTGAAAGAAGCTAACAAGGTGATTTCCCGTATCAACCAGCATGTAAGGTGAGGTGACCCGCTAGTGAGGGCCTTAGTGGTCCGGCAAAACTTTTGAGCATTTCAGGAACTGCATGGTTCCCAGGCAACAACAAAAAAAATTGCCTGTTTCATGAGATGTGTCCATCTCAGTCAATTAGCTATGTTGGGTGTCTCCCTATAATTAACTTGCCCTTTTTTGCCATGTTTTTGTACCCACTGTCATCCATTCCTGCAGATTGGGGACCCAGAAGACTCACCAAGTCACAATGTCCATGTCGCAGGGTTGCAAAGTTCTGGCTAAAGTATGCTTGGCAAATCTCAAACGATAGAAAAGCCGACCTATAGCCAGAAGATTATATAGGTTATCCTATAGATTATCCATAGATCCAACCAAAAAAACAAGTCAAATCCCGTTTTAAAAGAAAAAAATGACATACATATAAAATGAGGGATTGCTTTGACTTAGTTGCATCTTTTGTTGTTTTTTCGAGTTTTCCACAGGGCTAATCCCATCAGCGGTCCTTCAACAACGTACTGGCCCATCCCACTGGACCCTCTGGTAGCTTTCCCATCGCAGCCACGAAGTGATCCTCCCACTTTCGGTTGCCTGGCGCTGGTGCATCCCAGGCTCAGGCTCCCAAGTCATCCCAAGTCATCCCGGCTCACCCATCACTTGCGGCAGTAAGATTCAATCACTTGCGGGAGTAAGACTCTTCAAAACCAATCACTTGCGGCTGTGAGATTCTTGAACATACTTACTGCCACAAGCGATTGGTTTTGCTTACCGCCACAAGCAAGGTAGGAGCCTGACGGTAGGGGTGGGTGGGGTGGGAGAATAACGTTCATGTTCCTGTACACACACAGGCACGGCAACCTCATCATCTTTCTTGCTGTCCTGCAGACACAGGCACTGCTCTTTCATCATCAGTTACCGGTGGGGTGGGGTGGGGTGGGGTGGGATAATAACTTTCATGTTCCAACCAATATACCAATAGATGAAAATGATGATGATGATGATGATGAAGATGATGATGAAGATGATAGTGATGATGATGATGATGATGATGAGGAGGAGGAGGAGGAGAAGGTTAATGATGATGTGCTAGGTATGTAAGTAAAGTTTCCACCCTAAACCCTCCCATGGAAATACACGGATCACTACGCTCGCTCAACAGCTACAAATCTAGTCGCGGTCGCGCCGTTCTATGTATATCCTAACGTGAGGCTATCGCCACGGTATCTATAACCAATATATCCACCGTCGCGTTATACACACCCAAATGCAAAACGACAGACATGAAAAACACTGCAGAGCTGAAATTCCACCTTGATAAAAGTCGGTCTTTCTTTTTCTCCTTTCATTTATTCTCTCTGGGTTGGATTCACACCAAATGCTATCAAAAACCATATTTTTTTACCTATGGTAACCGAGTCGAATAGCCCCCAGATGTGGGAAGGTAGGCTAAAAAGTTGCTACAACCCTCTTTGTTTGATCCACTTAAAAGGATACAGACACGATATAAACTTCAATCAAGACATCAGTAAAAACAGTGAAATCCTGTACAACAGAAAGAAGTTGACATAAACCTTATGTACGTTCGCGTTGATGTTTCCAGTGAATGTGTAGAAATCACATGGATAGAAGACAACGCGTAGCGCAGCGTCCGCGTGGGGAGAGAGTAAAGAAACCGACGAGTGAGAACCAAAAAGATTTCATCAACGTAACGTCGAGTATGTGCGCAAGTGCTGCAAAGCAGCTTACTGCCACAAGCGATTGGTTTTATATACCCTGTCATCAAGGACACCCACTTACCGCCACAAGCGATAGATTTTTTTTACCGCCACAAGCGGTTGAAAACAGAAACGCGATCTTACCGCCACAAGCGATTAGGCCTTAAAATGCTGCACCTGCCACGCAGAAACAGCAATCACCTGCGGCAGTTAAAAAAATCACTTGCGGCAGTAAAAAATGAACGTTTTTACTGCCACAAGCGATTGGCGCATCTTACCGCCACAAGCGAGGTACGAGCCGTCATCCCAAATAGTAAGTGATAAATGATCCATATATTACTAGATATTACAAGGCTATATCCCACATGGAAGTGGGCAATAATTAATATGGTTATTACCCATTTTTACTGACGGGGATGCGTATCCAAATTTCAAATATGCCTTGCCAATCTTGGATGCCCAGATTTTGGTTACCACAGCTGACTACCAAATATCCCCATCTCTGGACAAGAATAGTAAGTTAAGTGACGAAAGTGCTCATGCAAGGTTTCACGAGCCAACAGTAGATCAATCACAACCAAAGCTGCTGGTTGGGCCACCCATTCCAAGAAGATTCTGTATAATACACATACGTACATATATATATATATATGTATACAATATATACAATATATATATATACAATATATAGATATATACAATATATATATATACAATATATTAATATATATATATATATACAATATACAATATATAATATATATATATAATATAATTTAAATATATATACAATATACAATATATATAATAAATATATTATATAATATATATATATTTACATATGTACATTTTGGGGGGATTCTTAAAATGAGGGATCCCCAAAATGGATTTCAATAGTCAAATTCACCAATGACTTGGATTTTGGCGTAATTCCATGGATTGGATGGGTTCTACATGGCCCCGCCTTCGACTTCGGCCATGGTTCGGAAATAGCTGGTGTCGGCCAGGAGCTCCGGGGTCAACGTGAAGCGGTGCCAGGCCGTGATGGCATCACCTGGGGATGTTTTTGTTCCCTATGTTCAACCCTCCATGGTTGTTACTGGTTAAATCATATAGAACAGGTAAAAATTGTGGTTATACTAAAGTGGTTAATACATGCTATAATACTAATCAATATTATATAATTATTAATAATTATATATATATGGTACCCCCCCAAAACCTACTTTTTTACTATTTTTACTGGTATTTACGGTGTTTTGTGCATATTTGGGGGGATATTATTTTTCTACGTTTTTTTAAATAAAATTGGACATAGGTTCGAGGGGGAATACCATATATATATATGTAACCGTGGATGTAGACAAACTTGTGAGACATGATGGTTCTGGCGTCAAGAGGTCTTAGGAAGTCCTAGGACCTCACTGGAACCAAGAACCAAGAACCAAGATTGCACAGAAAGTTTTGGGGGAATCTTGGTTCTTGGTTCCAAGGAGGTCCTAGGACCTCTTAGTTCTTCTTCCTTTCAGACTATGTCTTAAGTATAATTCATACTAATGTTGAGCTAGTATGTCATATTGTAAAGGTTGAGCAGTCTTAAGAGTATCATTTACGTTGACGTTGAGCCAGCATATCAGGTTGAAATACTTGACTATGTCTTAAGTATAACTTATGATAATGTTGAGCTAGCATGTCATATTGAAAAGATTGACTATGTCTTAAGTGTAGTTTATATTAGTTTAAAACAATGTTGAGCTGCTATTTCATATTGTAAAGGTTGAGCAGTCTTAAGAATATCATTTAGGTTGACGTGGAGCCAGCATGGGGGGTTGAAATACTTATGCGGCCGGGCACGCATCTCAAATATAGCATTTCCGATTAGACCGTTCTAATCCTCCTAGCTTGGCAACATGGGCTCCTTTCCTGTGGCTGGACAAGTAGAAGTACAGGGACGTCAGGCAACATTGGCTTTGACTCTTCCAGACCCAACACCTGAGGCAGAAGTCAACATGTGTAGGCCCACCACTGAGAACATCGAAGCCAAAATCGATGCAGGGACCATCAAAGTGCATCCTACACGCCAGCCTATCACCAAAAAAATGATCACCAATGCCATGGGCAACGTGCACCGCATGTTACTTCTACCAGGTGTAGCCAGTGGCGGCTGGAACCCACGCGCACAAGTACGTCTAGAGGCACTGCTGGCCAAACCCATCTTGTCGAAGATTGCCAAGCCCTTGGCGATTGAGGACAAAAAGGACAAGACGGAATTCAAAGACGCAAAGGTGCTGGCCATCGAAGACAAGAAGTCCACCGTTGAGGAGAAGGTTGCCAAATCATCGTCTTCCGACTCATCCTCATCCTCTTCTGATTCTGAGGACAATTCCATGCAAGTGAGCCCATTGAAAACCGAGCTGCAAGAGAAGGACGCAGAACTGACCAAGGCAAAGGAAGATTTCGAGTCCATCTTCAGTGCTCTGCATGCGTGCCAAGCTCAGCTACATCAGGCAGAAGAAAAGATCAGGGATAAGGACATGCAGATTGCCCTCTTACAGCAACAGATTGCAGAGATGCAAGCAAAGTCCGAGTCTGATGATGAGATGATGACTTCAAATTGAACCCTTAGAATTCTTTAAGCCTGCACGTGAGCAGTCGAGTTTCGATGTCTACGAGTTTGCTTCCGCCAAATGTCAAAAGAACGATGCCGCGTGTCTCTCGATCATGTGTCAAAGCTCCATGTTGTCATTGATGTGAGTCAAACAATGTGCAAATCGCAAAAAACATAACATGAAAGCTTATAAGATTCTTGAAAGATCGGGTCCAGATCAACCAGAACTGTCGTGTTGGCTCTGCTGCCCTACGAGCGAAGCTCCGTTCGGCGCAATAGGAGTATTGGCATAGAAACCAAGATCTTTGGGTGGCCACTGGAGCCCTTTGCTCATGGGAAATGACTAAGTTCATCCAGTTGGCGTGATCGATCTTGTCGGAAAACAAAGGAAGTCGCACTTCATGCGTCTTTTTTGTTGTCTGAAGATCTATTTCTGCTGTCTGTCATGCAAACTAATGTATTTCATCCGTGCAGGGGTCATACGCCATCCTTGTCCTGTGCAGGCAACCATCGTGCACCACCGTCGTACTGTGCAGGCAAGCTGTTTCGTCTGAACTTTTGCGACTCAAACAAAAGAATGTTCAAACATGTCTGAGGCTTGCAAACCTGCTTCTGAAACTTGTTCAGGCTGAAACTTGCCAAGAATCATGCTGCAAAGTGGATTTACATGTCGAGCTGTCTGTACCATATCTGCTGAAAAGACACAGGTTTTCACAAGGCATCATGTTTCGAGTGCAAGCTACTGGCTACAAGATAGCAAAAGGTAGGTTTTGGGGGGGCTAGCATATATATATGTATGTATGTATGTATGTATGTATGTATGTATGTATGTATGTATATATGCATGTATGTATGTATGTATGTATGTATGTATGTATATATACTTACTAATTTAAATCTGTACTTCCCATTCACTGTTGAGATGCCCTAAAAATATGTAAAAGTTAGTATGTAAAAGTTGTGGGGATTTGACAAAAAAATGTAGTTGGATTTAACATGATTTATATAACCAGCAAAGTTACCGGGGATTTTGCCCAACGACGTTATTGGGGTATAACACTAAACACATGTCATTTCATGCTAATATCAAAATTGCAGCAAGCTGTGGGCATGATCATGAGGCATAAAACCAAGCAAGCTGTTTAATACCAGCAATGTTGTGGGGATATAAAAGGGTTTTATGCCATGCCATAATTGATAGGATACATGCTTGCCCATTTTTATGGGTATACCCCCAACTTTGCTATTTATATCCAAAAATGACAATACAGTAGGCAATGACAATACATCAGGCAATGACAATGGTTCGGAATTGGGGTTACCCTGTGTTCGGACAAATCCACGTCACCTATCAATGGGGTGGTTGAATGGTGTTGTTTCTCACCTGCGAGTTTAGGGCGGTGCAACCACATCGAGAACTTACGAAGGTCTCAAATGATGCAAGATGGAAGTTGATAATGTAGTTTATGGAAGCCGGCTGAGGATAAAGACATTTCAAAATAACTACTTTGCAAGGTTGTACCAGTACACAAAGACTCTATCTTCAAGGGGTAATCATGCCGGTAGCAATTGGCATTCTGTCTCACTCTATAATGCTTGTAGGGGGCCTGGCCTGCCACCATTTTCTTGAACCCAACAAGCTTTTTCTGGCACAACAGCTAGGATCTGCAACATGGATGGAGAATGTGTAATGATTGAGACTTGGCCACGGACCAACATGGGGTAGGCACATGTACCTAGAATTTTGATGCACCATCTTGTGTTACAATTTCTCTGAAATCCCTTACCCTCCGGTAAACTAACAGTTTGATATTGAAAATGGCCCATTTAGTTCGTTGATTTACCCAGTAAAGTGGTGATTTCCCAGTTTGCAAACTGTAAACGTTTACCAGAGGGTAATCCGACCCCAGTTCCACAGGGATCTCCATGTTATCAACAGAGTTTCCTCTTCATCCAGAGTTGCCCAGTCGCCTGCCCCCAAGCGAAACGAACTTTGGCTCGCCACCAGACTCACGAGACTTCGAACGCTTCGGGTCTCCTCGATCTCATTGGGGTACATGGTCAAGGGGGATGATACGTACGGTAAACCGATTAACGAAAATGCTCAAAAGCTAAAGGTGTGGCAATCTATATAATCCATCTTGGGACTGATAAATCTGTAAGTGATCAATCTATAACTTATACCAGTAGTACCGCATAAGGCGGCGGCGGAAGTTTCAAAAATAGGAAACCTATAGGAGAGGTTGGTTGTTGTGAATCACGGATGGCAGAGCGAAGCCACTGATGGATCGAAAGGTGATTGGTGTCTCCTCTCTTTCTCTCTCTTTTTCTCTCTTTCTCTGATTATCTACCTACCTACCTACCTACCTACCTACTTACCTACCTACCTACCTACCGATCTATCTATCTATCTTTCTTTCTATCTATCTATCTTTCTTTCTATCTATCTATCGATCTATCTATCTATCGATCGATCTATCGATCGATCGATCGATCCATCCATCAATCCATCCATCCATCTATCTATCTATCAAATCTATCAAATCTATCAAATCTATCAAATCTATCTATCAAATAAATCTATCTATCTATCTATCTATCTATCTATCTATCTATCTAATCTATCTAATCTATCTAATCTATCAAATCTATCAAATCTATCAAATCTATCAGATCTATCAAATAAATCTATCTATCTATCTATCTATCTATCTAATCTATCAAATCTATCAAATCTATCTAATCTATCAAATCTATCAAATCTATCTAATCTATCTAATCTATCAAATCTATCAAATCTATCAAATCTATCAAATCTATCAAATAAATCTATCTATCAAATCTATCAAATCTATCTAATCTATCAAATCTATCAAATCTATCTAATCTATCTAATCTATCAAATCTATCAAATCTATCTAATCTATCAAATCTATCAAATAAATCTATCTATCTATCTATCTAATCTATCAAATCTATCAAATCTATCAAATCTATCAAATAAATCGATCTATCTATCTATCTATCTATCTAATCTATCTAATCTATCTAATCTATCTATCTAATCTCTCTGTCTGCCTGTTTGTCTATCTAATCTATCAAATCTATCAAATCTATCAAATCTATCAAATAAATCTATCTATCTATCTATCAATCAAATAAATCTATCTATCAAATAAATCTATCTATCTATCTATCTATCGATCTATCTATCTATCAAATCTATCAAATCTATCAAATAAATCTATCTATCTATCTATCTATCTAATCTATCTAATCTATCAAATCTATCAAACCTATCAAATCTATCAAATCTATCAAATCTATCAAATAAATCTATCTAATCTCTCTGTCTGCCTGTTTGTCTATCTATCTATCTATCAAATCTATCAAATAAATCTATGTATCTATCTATCTATCTACCTACCTACCTACCTTCCTATCTATCTGTCTGTCTATCTATCTATCTATCCATATATCTATCTAGCTATCTAGCTGTGTATCTATCTATATATCTGTCTGTCTGTCTGTCTATCTATCTATCTGCAAGCTTGAAAACGAAGCTATTCTGCGAGACTTCCTCAATTTTTGCACTTGACAACGACAAAAACGAAGCAATTCTGCGAGACTTCCTCATTTTCTGAAGTTGACAACATCAAAAACAAAGCAATTCTGCGAGACTTCCTCATTTGAAGTTGGCAACATGAAAAACGAAGCAATTCTGCTAGACGTCCTTCAAAAATGGAAGTTGATTGGTGTGTTTTGTACATTTTGACTTCGAAATGTGCTTCGCGCCACAACGGCGTGCACTTTTTCGACATCGCAACTTCCAAAAGTGCTCCGAACGTGAGGTGTTTTTAGCTTTGTCACTTTCAAATGTGCTTCGCGCCACAACGACGTGCACTTTTTCATCTCTCATCTGGCCAGATGGCTCCGCACCCGCCGCTTTAGCGAGCCTACTCTGCGACCCTCCGGAGCCACAAATCATTGGAAAAAACACAGTGTTTCGCGACTTTCCTACCTTTTGGCGCATCTGAGCTTCTTTCTTCTGACTCTTTCTCTTCTCTGATCTTCTCTCTTCTACTCTTCTCTTCTCTCTGACTCTTCCCGTCTCTGCTTTTCATCTGTCCATATTGTCGGAAGTTTGACTTCTAAACTTCCTTCGATAATCCATCTTGGGTGAAAATCATCCATGTTGGGGTTGAATAACTTCAAGTCTCCTCCATCTCTGAAGATTGTTCAACCGGTTCCACTGAAGGTACCTGCCCCATGGGCGCACTCACTGTGGCCGCTGCAGGGTAGCCATTGGACATAGGGGTTGCCTGGCGGATGGGTCAGTGCAAGCAAGAATCATCTGGATTCTGTGGAGTTGGGGCGATGTTTCCGTCCTTGTTGAATTCTTGGGACTGTGATGCTGAATTCAAACACAGTTTGTTGATTATGGACTCCACGAATGTTACGAACTACCTCCAATTTTCACAGTCATCCAACCACCGATTATGTCCCTGAAATCATATTGTTATATAAACGATGGGAGTTGGAAATGCCTTGGCCAAACTGTGTCAGCACTGAGAAAGATGCACCGATCTTGCTGGTGCAGCATCGCTTCATTTGCCGGAGGTAAATTACCTAATTAAGTTCCAAACAGGCGATTAACCTCCAGTACGTGATCAAATCTTCAAACGATAATTCTTGAATTACCCTCCGGTAATCAAACATGGCAATTGACATTTTCCCAGCTAGAAACCTCCATCTAGCGCATGGATTTTCCAGCCACGTTTGACTACCGGAGGGTAATGTGGGAAACCCAATAATAAACCTATCACTCAGGGATGGTTTATACGACCCATGTATGGAGATTTTGGGGGGTGCTTTACTCTTGGGTTTACCACATTGCTGGGTTTCACTATAAACCTTCAAAACTTGTGCCAGCATCAAGTGGCGGGCATGCCTGGGCCTGGTCCACGTGTGGCGGCTCGACCGTCTTCGTCTTCACTCCATGCACTTCCTCACGTCACCCGCTGCACAAGTCTTCTCTGAAATAGGCATGACCAACTAGATAAACCGGACGAATTCTATGGTCAATGGTAGCCATATGTCTATAGAGAATGGTGTTTATAAACCAACTTATAGCTATGTCCGCAAATAGGGTACCCTCTGGTAATTTAACATACGTATGGGCCTGTGGTATAGATGGACCATTTAGTTACCTATTGAAAAATGGTGTCTTTACATAGCTATGTTAAATTACAAGAGAGTAAAGCTATTCAGCTTCAATTGACAAAATCTCTGGTCCCTTTAGTAACACCATTTCAGGGCGCCAGTGAGTGACATGAACTACTGAAAGTAGCTACCTGTTTGGCCCCCACGTTTTCTGATAGCAACACCAGTGTATCAGTGTATCTAATCCTTTTCAGGCAATGGATCTTCATCTGGCGGATTCACAATTCATGATATGTATAGAATTTCCCCAATTTCTTGTCAGAATATCCCAACTTCGTCTCTGGCTATGTGTTGCTGAGTTTCCCCACAATGGTGGGTGCAATGGGAAATTCCCAAGTTTAACACGAAACACATCTACAACATGGGTAGTCTTAAAGTCTTAGCTCCCCTGCAAATAAGCGAGTTTTTTTGGCAGCTGCCTATATAGTATGATGATATAATATTTCTCCATCTAAATTCACCATGATCAACCCGTATGCTTTCACCTGCCATTCACCAGTCAGTTGTGACCTGTCAACTCCCAACTGATTACTGAGTCACATGATCTTCAGTCTCCACGTTCTCACTGACCTTCGATGACTCCAATGTCTCTTGCTCGTCCGCCTCCATCTCCTTTGGAGATCGAAGTGCTGCTGCGAAAGTACTGCTGTTGGTCTCTTTAAGGGCCTGGCAGAGGGAGAACTGGATGATAGACCTGGGAAAAGGAGAAAAACTCATCACATGGGTGATAAAACAAAGGAACATATATATCTCAAGTGCCTAAGGGGAATGACTCATTGCCATTTGCCAACTCATGGATCAACAACCATTGTGTGACTCAAAATGAACAGGTTCGTTCAAAAGAAACATAGAATTAAAGGACCGCATAACCCCACATGTCAACTTCTTCCAACAAGCAGCAAAAGAAAGGTAAAGATGGCATGGGGAAAGCAGGAAAGAGAAAAGAGACGGTGAAGGATTGGGGTGGAGTAAGTTGTGTGTGGAAGAGTAAATTGTGTGTGGTGATAAGTTGTGTGTGAGGTGTGTGGATTTCGCCAAGTGCCACGCCTGCCACGCAAAGAGCCGCGGCGTCCACGGCGTCAGCTGGGACCCCGGTGCGCCACCAGAGCCCGCCCAGTGCCGTAAGTGCCACGCCTGCCACGTGAAACGAATGTGGATGTGACCAAGTGCCACGCCTGCCACGTGAAACGAAGGTGGATGTCGCCAAGTGCCACGCCTGTCACGAAGGTGGATGTCAGGAAGGACAAGATGTGTGTGAGCAAGTTGTGTGTGAGTTGAGTTGTGTGTGTGTGAGCAAGTTGTATGATGACAAGTTGTATGTGTGATATGTGAGCAAGTTGTGTGTGAGTTGAGTTGTGTGTGAGCAAGTTGTGTGAGAGCAAGTTGTGTGTGTGGACAAGTTATGTGAGGACAAGTTGTGAGTGAGCAAGTTGTGTGATGACAAGTTGTGATGACAAGTTGTGTGATGTGATGACAAGTTGTGGGAGGTTGGCGGCGGGAGGCGGCGGAGGCGGCGGGATACAGAACCGAAAACAAGAACCCCACACAAAGATGTGGGGAACAACTTTCGTATTACTGTCAATGGCCCTAAATTTCCAAGTGATTCCAGGAGTTGTTTCTCTGCATTGGAAAATGAAGCTCGTCTTATCAGTTTCCCCTGGAGTCTCCCAGCAGGTCGACGTCTACGAACAGTCTCCAGAACCTGGGGATTCTATTCACTATCGAGCTAGCCAATGGAACATCTCCAAATTCAGCCATGAAAAATAGCCTATCCCATCTCATTATACTGGTTGGCTAATAGGTATATCCCTATTATTGGTTATCATAAATCCATGGTTTTTCTAAGTATTATTCTAAGTATTATGCAGAATAATCGAATAATGCTTCTCATAACCACCCAACAATGGTACTTTTGATGGCTCAACTATGATTCACAGTTTTGGCGTTTGGACATGCAGATCATTGCTCGAAATGAGTCCCGGGGTTTGCTAGATCTGGCTCAGAGTACTTCACCAACCTGACAATTTCAGTGATTTTGGGATAATGTCCTTCACTGCTGTAACCATAATTTACGGTGCTGTCGTGGTTTGTCTGAAAATGGGGTGCTCCAAAATCCAGAGGCTTATCACCCTATTCCAGAATTCTGTGATAGTATGGAGTGTTCACCCCATTTCCAACCCCGAATCATATTGTGAAACCCCAATGATATCTCCATCATGATTGGGTCTATATATGTCTATATGCATATTTTGGACAAAACGGGATGGGGTTCGGCCCTAGCATTTCCTTCTGTGGTCCTGCTTCAGCTGTACAAACTGCCACAGCTTCCCACACCATCTCCGCCTGTCGCACACGCCATGCTCTCCACACGCGTTGGATTTTGGCGCTGCCCACCGCAGCCTTGCACTGCACCTCTGCCGTTGATGGCTCTGCGGGACTCACCGATTTCACCTGGCGCCACGGCGTTGGGACCATCCCCAGTACCTCAACCTGCACCGGGATGAAAGTCTATGTTCCAGCCCTGAAAATGAGATGATCACATGATTTACATGATCCAGTGGATCCAGCTCAAGTGAAGGAATAAATTGTCTTTCTTTGCCCAGCCCTTCAACTGTGATGTGTCGCGTTTTAGAAGCCGCTTGCTGACAGGGTTATTGCAAGGGACCACACATGTTTTGGGTCATAGTCATAGTGGGAATGCCATTTATGGGGTACAGCCAATGACTTGATGGTTAAGGGCTTGTCCAAAAATAGGATACCCCGAAACCCATCAGTTCCCTCCTTGATATTGCCATTTCCCGTTTCTTGGACCATACCTCAATGTGGATCCAATGTATGGATACCTTTTGCTAATGAATAAAAATGGATGGATGAGTCCAGCAGTACATTAAGATGGGAATAAACTCGGGCGACATCCAGACATCACCTACCCTTCAGCACATTCTTTCAGATAGGGAAACCTTAGTTGTTTTCCATATTATTGTTGCTAATTTACTGCAGGGCACCCAACAGCAATGCTCAATAATACAATCAAGAAGTCTCGGATGCTCATCTGGTGCCTATGTCGATCTAGAAGGATGTGACCCACGACCCCTTGGGTGAAGAACAAAGTACATTGTATCTGGCTGAATTAATAGTAAGTCACCAACCTGAAGTACCTGAAACTTGTGGCCACTTGGGGATGATTCTGCTTACCAATCATCATTCCAGTGACGTCACAGCTCATTGTAATTCATCTGGAGTACGTGGTCTTTTTTGAGGTCTTACCAAATCTGGTTGGTGGTTTTAACCATCTTGAAAAATATGAAAGTCAATGGGAAGGATTATCCCATATATGAAATGGAAAAAATGTTTGAAACCACCAACCAGAAATATTTGTTTCATACAGCCATGCCCGAACTGACCCTTCAGGGTTGCACCTCAAAATACTGATCGCGATACTTCAAGATGATGTCTTGCCCAGATCTCAGCTTCAAAGCTCAAAGCTTCCGCCAGGGAATGTGAGATACTCATGACTCCATATGAGTGTCTGGAAATGAAATGGGGTATAATTACTGGTATACCCCAAGACTTGCTATTGAATAATTAATTGGGAAACTGATGATAAACAATGAGATTTAGGGGGTATATACCCTATTTTCAGACAAACCCATCTAGGTGAGGATATCCTAGATTCTCATGCGTGAGACTGAGGCTGAACACGGTGTTTCACCAACAAAAAGCTAGAAATAATTACTTTGTTCTTCTCAACCTATTCCGCTACGTAGTTTTGCCTCCCTATACTTATTTCAGAGATCCAGATTAGAATCAAAACCTGGAATTGGTCATCAGCGCCATTTTGGGGACACTCCCATCCACTGGGACATGAAGCTCAGCATCCCGTCGAGTCTCGGATCAGCTCCCCCAACCATTCGGCCAGGAGGCAGGGCCAGATCCGCCGCTTCCCTTGGCACGTTCACCATCTTTGGCATCGCGCCAAGGACGCGGCTGACAGCATCCTCCAACTCTGGGCTGCTTTGGAGGACGAAGGAGTCCAGAAAGCGCCGCCAGAGGTGCTTCAGAAGCGGCTCTGGACTCCACTGGCCTTGCGATGGTGACGCAGATGTAGCAATTTGCCACAGCTCTTGACTCACCTTGGATTCAGTGGGTCAAAAGCCAGAAATATCACCAGTAGATTCTCGAGTTGGTCGAGTTGGTGGCTTAACTAATGGAAAAAGAAAGAATCTTGGGCAAATCCAGGTCACTGCTTCAAAATCCAAGTCCTGCCACAGGGATGTAGAGGGGACCTATGGGGACCTACTTGTCCACTTGTTCCTGGAGAGTGTAATGATTGAGCCTTGCCTACATTCCAGTCACGTAGCTGAAATGATGGTCTTGCAAACGCAAATCCTGCCCCGTCCCATGAGTCCTTGTAGTCAAGCAGAGTCTTAAGAGGTATAAGTTGTACGGCGGACAGAGATCGTTGCCAAGCAGAACTGCCTTCCTTTGTCCTTGATGCCATCATCTGCTTTTCCTTGGTGTCAGACTTGCAGCTCCCATATCTTATGCAGCATCAACGTTGGAAAAAAAAAAACTGCATGTAAAGGCTGCAAGTTGGGGTGTCTGAGGCACATTCCTCTGGAAGGACTAAAAGGACAGTCTCTCAAAACTGTGTTTCCCCAATGAGCAAAAAAGATCCTTCAAATGATGCTTCCTGGGAAAATAGAACAAACTATCCAAAGTTTAATCCAAATGATGATCCTTCGAATGGATAAGTTTGCACCAATTTAATTTTTGTAGCGATCAAACGGTGGATACTTGGAGGATCACCCCACGGATCGTTTTTGTGGTGGGTGTTTCTGAGGCTACTGAGGCTACTAAGAAAAAGAGCGGAGTTTCCCACGTTTTTCGGGGACGTCCCACGAATTAGGGATATCAACCACTGATCCGTGGGATGATCCCGCAAGTACCCCAAAAATCAAGATCTTCATAATGAAAAGAATGATCGTTGAGTAACCATTAATAATATACTGTTAATAATGGTTAATATACTGTTAATAATGGTTAATAATGGGCATCAACGTTTTCCCATTTAAAGTATCAGCACTTTCCCAGGTAATTATCCACCATTTTGCTGATGAATGAACCAGTTTTCACCAGCAAATGTAGCTGACAAAAAACCCATCGATGCTCAAGTATCATAGCTGTTCAGGAAGCGGTTCAGGCACTCCTGGTGATCCACTGTGTCCTCACACAGCCCCGCGCTTTCTTAACAGTTGCTGGTCACAGCTTAAGAAAAGAAATATGTTTGACACTGATCTCTATCTATCTATCTATCTATCTATATATATATATATATATGTCGATTATATAGATATATTAGATATAGAAATAGATATAAATATAGTAGATGCACACAAAAATACACCATACACATAGTTGCATATGAATAGTACATCTATCATTCAAACTGATCATCCGTTAAACCGGGATTGAAAATTGCATTAGCCAAGCGCATTTCCTTGACATTCGGCCACCAGAAAGTAGTTCTGAAAACGATAGATTTTTGCGCGAATGGGGTTGGAACCTGAGAGGATTTACTTATGATTGATCAACTGCTTAACTTGTTACTGATAAATAATATTGCCAAATTACCTAAGACAGCTCTTATTTTTACATACCATTGGTACTATATATTACTACTATAGTTTTTGGTATCATATTCTTATTACTATAGTCCCCCAACAGAAATATATTATATGAATACTATGGTACTATATATATATATATGAATGGTACTATTGGCACTATATATTACTACGTATTATATATATATATGAGTGGTCCCCCCGTTGCAGAAACAGCCTAGGTTAGGTGATGAATCCGGGGTTGACCCAAAACAATTCGATTCCTGTACGTTTGGTGGTGCCCCAAAGGGTGATGTGAACGTTGGTTTATCAAAACCTATTACCCTCTGGTAATTTAACGTAGCTATTGGAAATGGCCATTTATAGTTGATTTACCCATTAAAAATGATGATTTTCCATAGCTATGTTAGTTTACCAGAGGGTATATAGCTACAAGGATTTCTGGTTGGTGGTTGACCTACCCCTCTGAAAAATGATGGAGTGAAAGTCAGTTGGGGTTATGAAATTCCCAATATATGGAAAAAATAAAAATGCTCCAAACCACCAACCAGATTTCAAAAGCCCACTGGGCCTTGCCAGTTGTGTTTGTTGGTTTATCATGGTTTATCAACCCCATTGTATAGTTAAAGTTAAAATGTTCTAGTTACCAGCTTAGTACCATAAATCCAAACGTGAAATGGAAGTTGTGTCTACCAACTCCATTTTGGGGTGCCCCAAGTCCGGATCCAACGACCATCCAACGACCATCCAACGGCAACGCAACGCAGCGGCGCCGCGGCGCCTGGTTCCATCCGCAGAAGCTCAGCACTTTGGCTGCCGAGGTCCCGGCCAAGTGCTGGAGATATGCATCCGACGGATCCACCGAATCCACGTGGCAAGCCCAACCTTGACTGGTTCACATTATTGGTTATTATATAGTTAATGATGGTTAATAATGGGGTTAATATACTGGTTAATAATGGTTAATAGTGGTTAATATTATTGTGGTTAATATACTGGTTAATAGTGGTTAATATTATTGGCTATTATATGGTTAATGATGGTTAATCATAATCTGGTTGGTGGTTGGTATACCTACCCCTCTGAAAAATGATGGAGTGAAAGTCAGTTGGGATTATGAAATTCCCAATATATGGAAAAATAAACAAATGTTCTAAACCACCAACCAGTTGATGGCGTGTTGAAGAAAACAAACTTGTTTTTTTGTTTAACAGGTTCATCGCCACCGAATTTTCAACGTGAGTTGAAACAAGTTCAAAGGAAATTACCTTTTGATTCTTTGATTACCTTTTTGAACTTGTTTCAACTACCGGTGGATCAACAACTGTAATTAAAGGTAATCAACAAACGGCTTACGGTGGATCAACAACTTCAAATACCTTTTTGATGGTTGATCCACCGCAGACCTTAATGCTGGAATGCCATGGTCCATGCCATGGTGAAATTGATGACCAAAAAAAACAGCATGGCATCAATGACTTACTCGGTGCTTTGTCAACCCCTCCGTTGGACACGTAAACCAGTGGCATATTTGGTGCTTGCACATGTTTTTGCCCAAAAAAAAAAACGTTTGCTCCCAACACCCCAGATACTTTTGGGGTGAGAATGGGTAGACAAAGAGATAAAATCAACCATTCCGAACAAGTGGCTACAAATATTTAACCAGCATCGGCTTGAAGCTGGATTTCTGGGCCCATCTGGGCCCAAAGAAACACCACCAATCCCATGAATCCAGGCAACACATGAAGCTGAGAACGTTCAGATCCAAACTCCAGAGGCTTCCCATCTCAGCATGCGCGGCGGGACTGACCTCCGGCACCTCCTCAAGCGCGGCTTCCCACCAGGGGACAGCGGCTGAAGCTTCTCCCATTTTGGCCTGGCTCAGATTAAGAACCCGGATTTGTGAGGTCATATGGGGCGTATGTCATATTGGAAGGGATTACTAGGGAGAAAATTGGCTGAATATAGACGTAAACTCAGTTCCTCCCCTTGTGGTCATTATTCAACCTATAATGGGTTGGAGCAACCGTTTAATCAATATGCGAAATGAGGCTTTTAACCAGTGGATGGAATTGTTTAAGCTAACTTAGGGGTACCCTATTTTCAGATAAACCCATATAGTACTAGAGTCTATCCAAGCCTATCCCATGTATAGATTCGATGGATCAGACCTTGGTTGTGAATATAATATATATATATGGGTAAATATATAAATAAATAAATATAATATATATATATGTGGGTAAATCCTAATGTTTCACGAAGCTGGAATAATAAGGCCATGTGGGGATGATTTCCCTATATCTAAACCATGATTCCAGGGTTCGGGAGAACAGGGTTCGGTCGTTATTTCATCTACATCCAAGCACTTGGAACAGATTTGGGGACACCTGACTCCTGTACCTAGCCTGGTAATTTACGAGAGCTCTGGAACGTCACCACTTTAATAGGTGATAATAGGTGGATCATCTATAAATAGACCATTTTCCATAGCAAACTGCGAAAAAAAAACAAAGGGTACAAGGTGGAGCCCCCCCCATTTATAACTTGGACCCCTTGAGCTATAGTTATCACCATAAACCATAGAATTCACCTAGTTACCAATCAACTTAGCTATGGTAAACAGGGACCCCACCTTGTGAGCTATGGATATAGTATAGCCACCCCAACTTGCTTGGACACTTGGCGCCGTTTCCATGACTTTTTCTGGGTGGGCGACCTCCCAAGGTCCTAAGGTGTGTGGATAATCAACAATGATGGATATGGTTATTATCCAGATATGTGATACAGAATAGAAAATCATCGCACTATCATATCAACATGAAAAATCATGAAAATATAATGAATCATAATCCATCATATTTAAACATATTTAAACAAGGTTACCCCTACTGGAACCGGGCACCAAGAGCCGCATTCAGCATTGACCATCATATGCATGTCATGGCATGCGACAATTCATTGACTTAGATCTATGCGATGTCGCAATGTCCCAATAACCAAGAAGTATTGGTCAACGAGATAATAGAAAATCCCTAAGTTAAAATAATTTACCTATAAAACTGAGTGATTTTCCATTGCCATGTCTGCCGGACGGAGGGTAAGTGTGCAAACCCAGGGATAAATCACTGGGATAAACACCATGGAATTAGAAAAACAAATTGTAACTGCGTGACACCCTTGTAGCTGGAATATCAAGGAATACCACCGTTAATGTTTTACATGGTAAAACCAATGATAAACTTCCAAACTTGTAAGGTCTGGAAAAACAATGCCAGCGAAACTCATCAATCTCTCTATTTTTCAATGCCAATGCGGGGGATGCTCCATTTTCGGGTGTGCTTGAAAATTGGGGGTGTCCCCCCAAATGGATATATGAGATAACTGGTTGGTGGTTTCAACCATCTTGAAAAATATTAGTCAATGGGACGGATTATCCCATATATTATGGAAAATAAAAAATGTTCCAAACCACCAACCAGATAATTATGAGAAACCAGTGGATGGAATGGGGTACCCTATTTTCAGACAAAACCCATTCATGACCCTGTCGTAATTCAACGTAGCTATGTAAAATGGCTCATTTACAGATGAATATTCATTACTATCATTTGGGGTAATAATGGTAACTTACAAATTACGAACGGTACTTCCAATTAATGATAATCTCTTTGAATGATAATCTGATTTTCATGACAAATTTGGTAGATTTAGCCTTATACATCCTGCAAACATGTCTTCCCAAATGGTACTTCAAATTGTCCCATTCTTCAGATATCCACCACCCGTGGCAGCACGCCTCTGCCAGCACCCATTCAGGCAGCGCCTGTAGACCTTGCTGTGGGTCCCAAGCGGTGCCTGGCTATTGGGGCCTTCAACGGTTCTGGCCAATGAAGAAATTGCATTTAAATGAGGAAAATGATGGTAAAAACGGGGATACCATGGGGGGGTATCGTGTTGAATGTCGTGCTTAATATGGTTTTATGATGTTTTATGTGGTTTAGTAATCCTGTTTAATAATTAAGGATAATAATATTGGCATAACTTGAGATAATATACAGGATTTTCCTCGCAACGGTGTCATCAGACATGGCTAGCTGGGAAATCCCTCCACGTCACTAAATGGAGGTTTTCCAGCATTCCATGTTTGATGACACGGATGGTATAATTACACAAAAAATGGTATATCCATGCTTGGTTTCATGATTGAAATGCTCGTTTTTTTTTCGGTGGGGGTTGGGGAAAATTGGGATGGCCACTCAAAATGAAGAATGGAATTTCGATGATTCCTCGTTGAATGGGAAAAAGGATCATGAAGCGGGAAGTTGGAAGTCCCAATTGTGAGACAACGCCGGGGGAGGCATCTCCGAAGCGTGGGGAAAATTAACCGGGGATATGTACTGTGGCTGTCAGGGCGAAGCCCACAGCTCAAGCTAAATAAGCAGAGTTGAGTTGCATACTTCCCATGCGAAGTCAAGGAAAATGCTCAAACGCTGTGCCGCTGTGCCAATCTGAAGAGAACTATCCAAACTTGTCCCCACTACCAAAATGAGGACCCGGTGACCCGATCGAAGCATTTTCCCATGCAATTGACGATCGATGGTTCTCTCTAGCATCACCATCCAGTTGGCTGAATTTTGAAAGCTTTAAAAGTAAATCAATGGGAATTACTGCACTGTCATCAAGATGCACTGGAACTCACCTGGATGAGCAACGCTACCCCAAGATAAACCCCTCAAGATTCTTGAAAAACGATGATAATTTTGATACGTTGTTGGACTCTGCGGCTTTGGAGGATCAGTTTTTTTGCTGGATGTACACTTAGAACACTGAAACCCCCAAAAAAAAAAGAACTCCGAGAATCTTGCCTTTGAAAGACAAATTTCGACTTGAAATGGCAATTCTCAGGTTCCAACTTCAATTTCAGTGGGTTGAAGGTTTCACCCAACGTTCACCCAACGTTTCCAGCAGCTGCACGTCATCCCAGCCTTGATCCAGCTCAGCTTTTCGACGCCGCACTTCGCGAAGACCGCTGCGCAAGCTTTGCAAGACGGCCAGCAAGTGACACCTCGGAATTTCAGACAAGAAATGACTGGTTGGTGGTTTCAATCCCTCTGAAAAATATTAGTCAGTTGGGATGATTATTCCCAATATATGGAAAAATAAGAAATGTTCCAAACCACCAACCAGATGAGCAATGTGGCAAAGCCAATAAATAAAACCTACCGTTTGGAATGGCTTAAAAAAATCCCGTGTAACAGCGATTTTGGGGACGGTTTATTATTGAATTTACCATATTGACATGTTTTAAGTAAGAAATGCGTTGTGCATGTCTAGCTATTTCAATGTAATTACTATAGACTAGAATTATATAGTTTAATTACATATTATATGTAATATATATATATATATATTGATGGGGTAATCCAGAATCCAAAAAAAGAATGGGTCGGCAAACATGGTAGTGAACCATATTCAAGCAGCTACAACTACCGGAAATATTCATGTGGTACCAGTGGTGACCTGACTACCCAACTAGCCCGAACTGTTTCAGAACTGGTAGCTGCTGGGTCCATGGTGATGCTGAACCCTTCCAAAATGCCTATAGTTTTGTGTGCTGTGAGAGTGGCGAAGCGTGAAGGCGCTTGTGAGGTTCCATTGATCCAGGATCCTGGTGATCATGCTACAAAGAAACTACCCTCTGGTAATTTAACGTAGCTATTGAAAATGGCCATTAATAGTGGATTTTCCCATTAAAAATTGTGATTTTCCATAGCTATGTTAAATTACCAGAGGGTATAGTTGGCAGTCTATGTTTCCATCAAAATAGCATAAACAAATAATCCACTAACTTGCCATTCACATCTGTCCAGCTTTGATGTGGCCGCACCAAGACACCCTCTGATGCGCTCTGGAAGTCCACCCAGAGGAGTTTCATCCGGCTTGTACATGTAGACTTCCATGTACATCTTCAACAGTGGCTCCGAGACACACTTCATGGCATGTTCGCAGAAAGGTTGGTTCTCCAGGTTACCTATTTGGATTTGCTGATCAGGGGCACCAAAAGATGTTGTTTTTTTTTCATGTTCCTTACTTGGATGTGCCAGATTGGAGAATGATGTTGATATAATGTGATACAACTGGGTACATCCCCTAGAACTAGCTATGGTTATGAACCAACTACATATTAGATATACCAGTATTGGGATTCTTGGGTCTGGCAACCTCAAAGTAGAAAGTGTCCATTTCTGTTGGCTTTCCTTGAGTGGCAACAACCAAAAAAAATCACCCACTACAAATCCAAAAGAAATCCAAGTTGCTGATGGTCTCCCTCAGCAAGGCATCTCTCTTCGCCAGCTCGCAAGCTTTGGACGAAGTGAAATCCTCCAAAATGCCATTCAGGTCGCAGGGCGCGACCGGCTCCTTCAGCAACGGAGAGAGGTGATGTCCGAAGTCACCGTTCTCCTCCTCTAAGAGCCGAAGCAACTGGGGTAGAGCTGCAATCGGAATGCCTGGCCAACACCAAACACAAGGTTGCTACCGGGTTGCCGCCCCAGATACAAAGGGGACGTAAATTCGTGGATGCATGCAGAGGTCAAATCACCAATTTCCCCAGAGTGGCCATTATTTACCTTCATTAGCTTGGAGCAACCCTGAAAAAGATGGAAATTCAATGGAAAATCTGGATACTTCAGCGTTTTCCTCTTGAACAACAGACCCCCATTTCACTGATGAATTATCCTAGGCAGCCTGCGAGAGCCGGGAGATTGTAGAAAGGGCTTTCAAAATTCCCAGACCATCCATTACTGTATGATTGGGTAGAAATGGACTACAGAGTTTGGTCACTTCTTGTACTTATATGTACTTATCATCCATTTTTGCGTAGCCCAATTTTCACCGGTACTCATATCAACATATCTCTGCATCCCAAGTTTTGAATCTGTGTTTTCCGTTCACCCGCACCTACCTGTTTCTGTGTACCTCAACTCGGATCTATATCAAAATATCAAAAGCTTCTGGCTGGCCCGTCTTTCTTTCCTTTTCAAGGATTCACGAATCTAAATGTCACGAGCTCAGCTACCCTACTACCATGCCAAGAATCAAGAGAACAAGGTGGGGATGTCAATCTTTTATGGCTTGCTGAATTTCGAATCACAGGAACTTCGTGAATTTCAGACTGATCCAACGCTATATAGTGAAAACAATGCCATGATAGGGAGAAGCATCTTCCAGAGGGGTACGGTATAATTCTACTTCCATCCAGTGCCATCCACTCCCATGGTTGTTTCAGGTGAGGTACAAGGTGGGGATCCAAATCGATAGCTAAGTTGGTTTGTAACTATGGCTTAACTCTGGATTCTGGCAGCTATTTCTATAGATACCGGCTAATATCTATAGAGAATGGGATGTAAAAACCAACCAAACATCCCTGGGAGGGGCACGTGTAGCTCGTAGGATTTTCACCAGAACAAGAGCTTCGGTGCCTTCCAGGATCTCCAAAGCAGCTTGCGGAATACCTGCTGAATCAGCAGCTGCCATTTGCAGGGGTCAGGGTAGAGGAGCCACAAACAAAAGCCTTTAGCCCCAAATTCAGAAGGGCATGGCCTGGTACGAAGATAGATTCGACAACAGTGATAGTTTCTTTATTTATGCTGGACCAAAAAAAAACATGGATTTGGAGGTACCCCGATTTTAGGCCTCCATGGCCTGACCCATGGTAATTCCCACCCCATGGCCTGACCATTGATCTCTGACATCCGGGTGTTCCAAAATCAGGGCGGAGGCTTCAGAAGCACCTCGGCACCAGCGGCACCCGTGTCCATGAATCGATCCCCTCAAATCTGCTTCAGCTCCAAAGTTCATCACAACCAGCACTGCTCAACCAGGAAGTGTGGAAGTGTCACATTTGAAACCAATGAACCAACAGAAGCGACTCGGACACTGTGAAAAGACCTGTGGGTCGGCGCGCAGCTGGTACAAACTTCAGGGCACTGGGGTGCACGTTGACCCTCTGTCATCCCCAAACATCAACCAGTGGGTGACTCAACCAATCATCAACCACCGAGGCTGATAGAGACCATTTCTCACACAGAAACTCTCACTTTATGTGAGCAATGGGGAGGATAGAGTCTAATCTGGGCCTGGACTATGTTCCTGTATAAAAGTGTATTGGAGTATTATCAAAGATAGATCAATGTTGTTCTTGCATGAACATATCTGGGGCATGGTTTTTTTGCCATCTGGAAAAAAAACTACAACAGTAAGACTTACATCTTTATTCTTGATGGTTGCATGGAAAACTCACTGAAAATCTATGGTTTCTCAAACTTGGATCCAGACACATCACAGAGTGTTTGCGCATCACATTGTGGACAGCATCCCGATACAGTGCCGCAGAGGACACGAATTCCTATGAACACCCAAAAAGCGATATCTGTCGAAAGACTCTGACTTCAGAGGAATCACCTGGCTTTGTATCGAAACCCTGGTATCCCGGTCCTAAATATATATATATATATAATATCTCTTGTTGGTGGTTTCAATCAACCCCTCTGAAAAATATGAGTTCGTCAGTTGGGATGATGACATTCCCAAGATGATGGGAAGTCATAAAAAATAGTATATATTTGGCATATCTGGATCTTCATCTTCCCCATTGATTCACGGGAAAATCCTGGGTGTTCACCTATCAGCGCTGAATCATCTCTCATTTCACTTTTTGTTAAAGAAGTGTGTTTCCCCAAATGCTGGGCGAAAACCATATAATATATATATATACATATATCTATACAACCAAAGCAATCTATGGGAAAAGCATGGAAAAACATATATACCCTCTGGTTATTTAACATAGCCATGGAAAATGGCCCATTTATAGATGATTTTCCCATTAAAACCTCCATTTATTTACGGGATTTTCCATAGCTATGTTAGTCATAACCAGATGGTAAGCACTAAAAAAACACATCATTCATCCCATTTTAAACATGGGTCATTAAATGTCCCCATTGAACATCACCCAACCATTAGGTATATGGTCAATGCCATGGCTACTATTTTTGGTGATGTCCAATATTCCCAAAATGGGACAGTTACCAACCCCTGTTAAAAAATCCATATGAATCCCATTAATCACTAGAAAATAGATATATATATATATAATATATATAAATCACTATTGATGGATATTAACACATCATTCATCCCATTTTTAAACATCCACCATACAACCAAAGCACTGAGTCGTGCTTGGATCTGCCTTAGCCAGTCACGACTGACCTGAAGCTCGGCCAAGTGCATCCTGGCCAACTTGTCCAAGACCTGAACGCATCTGGAGTTCTTCACCCAAAATAGCCGGCCTAGACATTGAGTCATTTGATAAACCATAGGAAAATGGTAGTTTAATGGTGGTTTCATGGGGTTTAACCAACAAAATGGTGGTTTAATGGGATTTACCCTCTGGTAAACTAACAAAAAACCATGGAAAATCACCATTTTTCATGGGAAAACTCACTATTTCTATGGTCATTTTCATTGGCCATGTTAGTTTACCAGAGGGTAATGGTGATTCAAAAAACTGTATCAACGATGTGGATTTCACCAAACCAACAATTGGCAAACAAAAATGGCAGATGGGTTTTGGGTTTTCTCTTCCAATCCCAACTGATTTGTCCCTTGTTCATCCCTAAATGATCCCTATATGATGTAGATGATTAGATCCAATACTGAACCGGGGGGTCTGGGGGTATGGCTTTCGGATGGTTTGGGGAGGGTCAACATCGGCCTGCATCAATTTTGACCATATTTATAGGGGGAAATGAGGTTTTAAGCCATGTGGAATGGGGCTCCAGAATATGAGACAAGTGAATATCGGAGATATTTTGTCCATGGATCAACCAGGGCAATGGGGTATGGTCCATCGAGAAAAACTTGAGAACTTCAGCACCTAGAATGGTGTACAAGCCACAAATGACAGGGAGAACCGGACATACTGCTGGAGCATAGTTTTTCTCAAACGCATCGGCTCATTTTTCTTTGCTGCGTATGAAATGGTCCCTGTGTCGAAATGGCAAGGCGTCAACTGCATCAACCCTCATTCTTCGCCAAGCCTTGCCCAGAAATCTTCCAACCAGCCACCATCTTCACAAAAATGCCAGCTCACGTATCACGTATCACTTGGATATGCATCCCAGGTAGTAACTGATATAAAATCGGGCGTATCTGTATATTCTGTACTTAACTGGGTCATAACCATGGTCAACAATGGTAATTTGATATTATCTTCACCACTTCACATGGGGTGCTTGAATCCATGGTGGGCCGCCCTTTTAAATCCCTGAACTATCCATGGAGGCTGCTTCATTGGTGGACCCCGGGTACCAGCGGGAGGTCAATTGCTGAAATCACCAACCCTTGCGGCCATTATTCACCCATAATTCTGGGTAAATTATAAATTTCACTAACCTGAATTAAGGCCATTTTGGGGATGACTTCCCTTATTAACCATCATTCCCAGTGAGGTCGCAGTGAGGTCGTTATAATTTACCCAGATAATTGGTGGCAGCCACCCTGGGCGGTTTGCCGCAGGTGAATAATGTGTGCGTCTCCTCACCTCTTCACGCTTCTCGTCGCTGAGTGCCGTGGTGAAACTCGAAGAGTCTTCGATGGCTGACTTGAACTCCTCGCGGTCAATGTGGGGATGATAAATAATATATGGATGATCGATGTAAATCGTGATAGATAGTATAGATGATAATATAGATACAAATACGGTAATAATCGATGATACTAAATTTTGTTGATGTAAATCTTTTAGATGTGTATAATATATATTGCATCCCTGGGGTAGAAATATGAAAAAACATGGACGGTGCCGAGAACACAGCGGCTCCAATTTTACAAGAGATGGGTTGTGTAAACCGTCTCCTATTTTGAGGATTCTTGTTGGTGCTGCTGAATCTTTCAATATCTTTCGTATGAAAAAAATGAGATCCGCACCCAGACGGTTGGTCGTGTATCTGGGTGAATTGTAATAATTCACTAACCTGATCTTGGGATGATTCCTCTTATTAACAATGATTCCAGTGAGGGAGAACAGTGAGGTCGTTATAATTTACCCTTTTCATGATTGCGGAGAGTCCAGACCCGACTCACATGTGGAGTCTGGCTCGCATGACAAAGAATTCGTGCACGTCGATCGACATCGTCAAGTTGCGAACTGAAGAATTGGATGAGGATTCTTGCGCCATTTACGAACATCTCTATAGGCTTTGTGTGTCTGAGTGGACATTTTTTGCCATCCCTTTGCAAGCTCAAGAGTGATTGCTTTCAGGGTTCTATCATTGCGTTATAATTTACCCAGATGTATGGTCATGTATTATCCTTGACCATCCAATAGTGCAGGTGAATTGTTTCGTGGGAAGTACACCACTGAGGAGCCACAAACGTATTGCTTCAGCCACCAAGAAATCATGTCACCCTATATAAAATCAGGGAAACCACCCTGGTACATAGCTAATGACCAAATGAAGGTGGCAATGTAAATAGAGCCAGACCATGTTACGACTCATGCGGGTTTCAACCTTACTGACACTCACCAACAAGCCAGTTGAAACGTCCCATCTGCAAATAAAGCTCTCACGGCAGGCTCCTCCATTTCCGGAAAATCCAACCTTGCAAAGTACTGGCTTCGACATGCTTAACTGGGTCACCATTCGATTACACCAAAATTCTACAAATAGGGGTTTCCTAAAATAGGGGTACCCCCAAATCATCCATTTTAGTAGGATTTTCCATTATAAACCATCCATTTTGGGGTACCCCCATTTTAGGAAACCCCCAAATGCCATCAAATACCACCAATCACCAATCTTGTTTCCCTGATTGCCTGGGTCTGCCCAGCAGCATTGTGGCAAACAAAACCAATGAAAAAAATGGCTCTCTTGTGAATGAACTGCTCTATTCCCTGAAATCCATAAACTTCGTGATGACGTCTGCATCCAAAATAGATCACAACCAACAGCTCCAGTTCAGCTTTGGGTTGTAGATGGTTGGGCAGTCCCCCAAACCTCCTCCAACATGTGGGCTGCCTACTGCAAGAAATTATGTGGCAAGGTCCAGCCAGTCCACCAAAATATCTGGAAACTTCATCTGATGCGGCGATAAAACCATGGTATTCCTTCTTTTCACATCAAAGTAGCTGGCTGCTATGGATGTTCTATGGATTTTGATACGGCGCCACTGAAAGAAAATGTAATAATTGTGGCCTTCAAACCCGGAACCACGATGTCCTTCATTTACCAGCATTTAACCATTGGTTGCAAATAGCAAAAACATGCTATTCTCGCCTCTATGAGTATAGCCCCATTTCTCTTCGTCAAACTCCAATGGTTACTGCTTAAAATTCCATATCGGTGTGGAATCCCGTCTTCAGTGGTTAAACCAATTTGGGAATGGTTTGAACATACCCTTCAAGTTCAGGTCCCAATTTCTAATTGTTCAAGAAAAACTCCCAATCTCTGACGATTCATTTCGGGTCTTAAGATTGCTCAGATTTCTCAGATTTCCCCCGTTCCTGGATTCTCAGATTTTCATCCTTCTGATTGTCTTCAAGTTAAGATCCCATCTTTACAGTGAGAAAAAAAACTTTAAAAAATCCCTCCAGATTCCCTCCGGATATTTCCAAAAAACTGCGGCCCTTTCCAAAAACCTCAAAAAACAAGGCACTTTTGGATCCGATGAATCCAGCTGCTGCTCAACATCTCCAACTGCACCGCAGTCCACCGCACCCGCGGAACCCTGGGCTCAGAGGGGCACAAGTTCCGCAGCACTGAGCGCTGCAGGGCACGGCTCTGCAAGGTTTCCACCAAGTGCTCTTGGAAGAAAAGATCCGCCAAGCTGACCTGAGTCGATGACGTCACTAGTGGGATAAGTTTGAAAAATTATGGTTGATGAGAAACTTACCCTCAAGTAAACTAACATAACTATGGAAAATTCCACCATGTTTAATGGGTAGATCCACGAACTAAATGGCAAATTTTCAGTTCGCAAACTGTTAGTTTACCAGGTCGGGGAAATTGGTGTCTTTGCATCAACCATTTGGAACATGGACTATGTCAATGTCATCTCACGTGCCAAATGATCAAGTTACCATGATATTGGGCGGGGCCCCTGATCATCCATCCCAGCCATGGGAATCCATCAACGAAAATTCATGAAATGCGCATACTTTAGAAGGAGATACTTGGAAGGAGAAATCATGGGGAGATAACGAACTAAATATATGATTTGGGTGTGTCTGAAAAAAAGGGGAAATTATCCATATTTATCCCAGAATTCAGTGGGGAAAATGATGATCAATCATCAGATTCTGGGGTACTGTAGCCTAGTTTCAGACAAACATCATCCCTATCATCCCTGCTTGGTGTGTTGCTTTAGTTTCACCCATTTAACTGGAGTTGCATATCCACCATAAATCCAACAGTTGTTGCAGTTGTAAACCAACTTACCTAAGTTGGTGACCCCACATTGTATGTATATGAATGTGTATTCAATTTCACATCCTCGCCGCCACAGCATCGTTCGTTTTGCTCTTGACCGTGCTAAAATCCTGGTCACCGACCCCTCCCCTACTCCAATATTCCCGGAGCTTGTTGGGCTCATAACTGTAAACCATGTGGGGCCACACAGAAGTTCCATCCGTAGCGTCACCCGCCTCCGTAACAACTTTACATACCGCGTGACAGGGGCAGCCTTCTGCATTTGTGCTGCCCAATTGGTGGCATGGTTCGTCCCAAGTTGATTGAGGGCCAAAGCCGCCGCGTCAACCAGTTCGTTCCAACCTGAGACGGTGGACCCAAGCCCTGAGAAACATGGCAGGGCAAGGTGGGTATACAAAATCGAATGCCGTTTTCAAGATCGTCCAAGTGTGTGCTCCGTTAAAAATGCCGGGCCTTTTCCAGGCTTAAGCGTGTGAGTGCTAACCGGCTAACCATTCCCAAGTCCCAATTTTTTTTTGTCCTGTGAACCAGTCAACCCGTACCACATCGGTCAACCAGTTGCCACTTGTCGCCCAGCTACTATTGCATAAGAACTTCGCCACCATTTCGGGCTGTGAGCTCAAGAAGAAGCTCAATGGGAGCTCCTGGCGATCCGGTCGCGGTCGGAACCCAGCTGCTAAGTCGGATGGCAACAGTCAGTCCCCAATTCCTGGGAACATCATGCGTAGAACTGGGTAAGGGAATCAGACTTACAAACCAGCCAAGAAATGAGATGAAGATCCAAGTAGAGTTGGGCAATCCCTTCTGAACAGCACTTACAGACACAGAGGCAAAGCTCAAAAATGGAGCAACACAGAACCGGCGACATTTAGTTCAATCATTCAAAAATTTACCAGCCAAAAAGTGGTGATTATGCCATGATTTTCCTAGGTTCAAGCACTTTAGAGATCTTTAGAGGCCATCTGACTTCAGAATTTCGCCCCCAGCTCTGGCTCCATCGTCCTCTTCGGCTCCGTGCCCAATCTTTTCCAGGCGCGTCTCTTGAGCCTCCAATCCCATGGCTGCGCGCCCGGCCTGGCATTCCACCGGGATGGCACCTTGATTTACGTCATAGAAGGCCCTCCAACCTTGGCCAACTGGGGGGCGGCAAACCTATGTAGCTAGGTCAATAGCACTGGTATCCAACTGGTATCCATCAGCCATGGTTCTTCAACCTGGGTTGACAGTGTACTTGTCTCTATGTGTAAGCAGCATGGTGGAGAGTAGAGCAATCTCATAATGTGTCATGTTATGTAATGCCAATTTGCCTGCCTCTGTCTGGCAGAATTCTGGCTGTAAGATAGAGATCAGTGGAAGACTGGCTGCAAAACTGAGGTTCTCACTGTCGATGAAGAGTTTCAGCGAGCGAAGGGTCGCATCACATTGAATCTTTTTGCTACCTCAGTATGAATGGAATGAATGGAAGAAAAGAAAGTGTAAGAATGCGTGGAAATTATGCTACGATGCTGGTGGGGGTGGATATCCACTTACCAGCTGTTTTAATCATTGGTGTGCCAGGTTGATGGTCCACAGCCATGCGGAAATGGGCTTGCGGCATGCCTTGATGACCATATTTTCGCACCAAACAGTTCTTGTACCAAAAGAAATCATGTGTTGTATGAAAGTCATGGAATTCACGTCTTCATACGCATTCCTAATTGAGATACAACTGGCAAAAAGTGGGTCAACCAGCACACAAACAAACAAAAGATTAAGATTCGCACATCGTCATCATATCTCCCCAGCCGCTGAGAATGCACAAGGGCGTGTTCAGCAAGGGCGCCCTGCTTCTCGTCACTTCCCAATCACCACTTCCCGAAACTTTTCACATTAAGGGACTCAGGCCCCAGTCCTCTGTTTTTAGATCAAATTTCCACGGGAAAACAGCGAACCTTCCCAGAGGTCAATGTGAGGCACCAGTGTCATCCCAGTGTCATCTCTTTCTGCTGGTTGCTCGAAAGGGTTCGACAAGCAGCATGGATAACCATGTTTTCACCATCAAGCATGGATTGGATGTTGAGCATTTTGGGGCCATGCGAATTTCTTGGAAAACAGCTTGATCTCCAGGTTACGATGGTTCATCTTCTCATCTTTTTGCATGGCTCTCTTCAGAAGGACTTTCAGCGGCTCCTCACTACACGAAAATAGTTGAAAATTGGACAGGAATCCATATATATATATATATGTGTGTCATATTGTATACTATTTATATATTACATGTGTATATGTAATATATATATATACATATGAATATAAAAGTATATCGTATATTCAAGTGGGTTACAATCATGCGTTACGTCAGGTGTACCCTCTATCAATGGAAGTTTAATGGTTGAAAATGACTCCACAAGGTGGTGCCCCCCCCAGTGATATTAGTTTGTTTATAAGCTATAGTAACTAGTTCGATATATACGCTCTGGTAAACTAACATAGCTATTGAAAATGGCCATTTATAGTGAGTTGTCCCATCAAAAATGGTGATTTTCCATAGCTACGTTAAATTACCAGAGGGTATTTACCATAAACCATAGAATTCACCTATTTATAAAAGCGTCAACTTAGCTAACTCTGGAGCACCATCCTGTAGCCATGTACGAGTATCATATGGCAATTATATACCATATACAGTAATTTAAATTGTGTTTATAACATATACAGTATATATATATATTCTATACAGAGAGAGAGAGAGAGAGATACCCTCCGGCAATCAAACATGGCTTGCTGGAAAATCCCCCATTTAGTTAGATGTTTTTCCCATTTAGAAGTCTCCATTTAGTGGGTTTTTCCATTGCCATGTTTGATGACCCGAGGATATACACCTTTGACCAAGCGTCAAAAAATGAAGAAATACAGGGTGGCTCCAGAAACCTATGAAGCCCAAGAAATATCAAACGATAACAAACCTTGGGTTTCGATCAGAAAATTAATGTTTTCCATTTGAAAACCCACAAAAATTGTCCCGTAAGTGATCCCCCGTCAAGACTTGTAACGGCAAGATGCTCGGTTTTGTCTAAAGACGCAAACGTGTTTCGCAGACAAACCTTGCTGTTTTTGTGGCTTCGGTTGATCAAGGATGGTTTAAGATGTAATTATCCTGCAACCATTTTTTGGATATCGAATCATATCCCATCTCATCTCAACATCCAAACCCAGCATCTAACTCCAACATCAACCAAGCTCAGAAGGGTCGACATCACGGCGTCCTTCAAATATTCCTTGGGCAGGGCTCCATCCAGACGGTCGAAGATCCAGTTTCGTAGACGAACGAAATGCCCCAGCAAAGGCAAGTGTGCGAGCTCTTCCTTTCCTGAGCCCCGTTCAGGTTCTTCAGGGCTTCTTCAGGGAGCAAAAAGTGAAACATCGGTGCCTTTCTAAAAGGGGGACAAATGACATGTATGTGGATAACCCCTTAAAATGATGTTGAAAACGAATATTCGGTGTAAATGCCTAGTAGCTGGATTCTATGCAAGAAACCAGATTTTTTTCACCCGATCCTACCAGATTTTCTGTCAATACCTTGGGTGGATCATCCCAGCTGAAATCCACCAACGTCCAATAACCTGCTTGGTGACTATATACACATGCCTTGCGATTGTTGGTACATATATATATATAATTACACACATACACATATACACATATAGAGAGAGAGAGAGCAACAATAATGATGACAACGATATATATATATATATATAATGATAATGATAATAATTCGTATTAATGTCGATAATATCGTGTGCTATAATAATAATCATCATCATCATAATGATGGAACAGTAACAAATAACAATAAATCTATGTACACTTGATTTGCCATATTGGTGCCGCACCGGTCAAGCCATGGCTTACCCAAGGCCCTCCCCTTGTCCCATGATTCCGTTCGGTCACAGGTCAATGGTCACCATGATTTGCCCAGATCCTGGCTACCCTCTGGTAAACGTTTACATAGCTATTGAAAATCACCATGCTATTAATGATTATATATGATTATTAATGGGTAAATCAACGATTTTGACTGGGCCATTTTCAAGTTCGCGAACTGTTAGTCATTACTCATTACCAGAGGCTACCCTCTTTTCAAGTGCCTGCCATAATGACTTCATAATGACTTTGACCCAGTTTCGATTCACCAGGTCCGCCACGAATTTCAGTTCTGGCACCACAGGAAGCGCCAGGGTACACTTCCTGGCTTCCAAACTTTCACCAGGAAGCCCTACTTAGGGGTGCAGTTGAGATTCCAAATGGGTACAACCATGGTGAACTAAACCCCCAGAAGTTGGGAATGATAGAACCCCTATAACTATGCTGAAATCTATCCACTCATAACTGGAACTGCACTTCTAAGTAGGCTCATCATGCTTGATTGAATCAGTTGGATGGATTTTGCAGAGCCCTTTCTTAGACACACCTCTATGTGAAATCGATTCTCATAGCTGAGTGCATAACTTAGGACTGTGAACAAGCAGTCAAATCGCTGCAAAACAAACCTGCACAGGTCGTGATTCTTGAGCCTCATTGGTGGATCTTCACAGGTATCTGTACCAGTGCGAGGGTTGTGATCTGTTGCCATTGCCAAGTTTCTCATAGTCATGGAAGAAGTGCTGCATGTAACCTGTCTGTTGCCAATGATTCAGGTAAACAAAATATAACACAACACGGACAGGCTCTTCAATCCCTGCAGTGTGTGGAATTGGTAAGAGCTTGCGGGGGCAATATTGACTCTGGTGGCCGAATGGACGCAGAGTTTCTCTGTCAGGATTCCTCGCCATAGTGAACATAGTCCCTACGAAACAATGGATATTCATTCCAACTGATTCTTCAATAATCTGTATATAGCGTTGTGTCATGTCATGCCATGGTGGGATGACTGTATGGTGTAGAAAAAAGTGCGGTATTTTTTGGGATAGTACGGTAGTAGTACGTACGTTCAGAATGTGTGTGTGTGTGCCAATGGATCAAGTTTTTGATCAGAGCCCCGGTGCCATCCGGTATCATCACATCACATGGCGGATATCCCCAAAATGTGGCATAGATCTAGACCCATTCCCAGGTCACTGATGTAGGTCACTGTCAGGTCACTGGCAGTTCTGTGCCCAGTGACTCAAGGATGACCTGAACTCCTGCAGTCTCTTGAGCTGATCTTGAGCCTCTGAATCTTGGTCTGCTTGACTCCTGGTGCCAGCTAGGGACCGCTTTGGAATCTTGGGACTCATCGTGGATACCGTGGATCCCTTGCCCCGGTTGATGACTGGGCCACCAACTAAGCCTTGTGTGATTTTAACCCTGCCTGGGGTGGAACCCTACCAGTAATGTGAAACCCAACGAATTGTGATGCAAACAATGTCAAAAGACGCGATGCAAACGACGTGCAAACAACTGCTTGTCAATTTAGTTGTGCGGCAAGTCACAAATGGTGCTGGGGTATGAATTCAACAGTTCAATTTAAACCCTTTTCGGCATCCCATGATGCTCTCAATACATCTGAGGCCGTCCATACATCAACAAAACATCCACGAAACAAAATTCAGCATCTCTGTCCTCAACTGAGGTAACTCCTGGACGATTTCATCGATCATCACGCGCCAAATCTCCTCATACCTCTGTCGTGCTTCAGCGGTCGGGAAGCTGCGCGCAAACTCCGCGGGAGCGTTCACGGCACGCTGGCGGAAGCGTTGGAAGAGATGAGCACAAGCCAAGGAGCGGTCTTCCTGCGTCCAAATCAAAAGATCCAGCATTTGGATGCATTTGGGACCTGTGACTTCAGCTAGAGAATTTGGATTTAGGCTGATTTAAGTATCTAAACTTGAGATTGAAACAGCAACATTTGCGGGTTCAGTCAAGAATGGGGGAACAAACGGCATGAATTCTTTGGGCATTTGACCAAGACGGATCAAAATGCTTGGTTGAATCCATTTTCAGAATTTTAGAATGAGGGGAACCCGCTATAAAATGTTGGGATGTGACATGATGTGACCAGTAAGGATCAAAACATCTCTGATCCAAAAACCATCAAAAACCACTCGCGGAAGGGAATCAGATCAAGCGCCTGTGTTTCTCTACATTGCGGACCATGCTAGCTAATTCATGGTTTGTTGACACCTGTTTCTAAATGTTTCTAAGGGTCTCGGCCCAAACAACTGCTACCCTTGGCTAAGTCCGACCATTCCTGGGCGTGTCCCATATCTGGGATGTTTTGTTTTTTGTTAACCAATTCCTACAAAGTAGCTCCAAGCAGATCTTTTCTGGGCCCATGTTAAACCACAAACCTGGAATAGGTTTCAATCTTTGATATCTATTGTGTTTTGTTGTTTTTGAAGATGTTCAGGCTGAAGATTCTTCCAGGTTTGTTCCACGGTGTTCCACTTCTCCAATCCAGCTCCGTTTTGAACCCCAGTCCTCAGTGTGTCCCTGGTGTCGGCACACGCACTCAAAGTTCTGTAGGGCGTAATTCATGGCAAAGCTCCTCGCGCTGTCAGCCAAACAGGCCGCCCTTCTGCCTCCATCCACTTCGCGGATGTGCCGTTCCGTCAACACCTGCAAAGGTGTTTCAATCAATGAAAAAGGGAATGAATCACCCAGAAATACTGGGGATGACCTGTGATTTTGACCCGCAAAATCTGGCAACATGTGAAAAAAAACAAAACCCGTCCCTCAATTCCTTCCAATATCGCCCCACTTGGTGCACCTGCCCAATGTCGTGGCAGTTCTCAGGAAAGATCCAAAGGCCTATGGCCATGACACTCCATGAGCAAAAGTTCACGAAGTGCAGGTGGGAGTTGTTCAGGGGCGCCCTGTTGCGGGTTGCCCTGCCGTGCACATCTAAGACACATCCGCAGTCAAAGTGATAGCCTTCCGGGCCCGGCATAGCACCAAAGCAAAAGCCCACGGGGAAGCTCTGCAACATGGCCCTAGGCTCCAGTAACAGCAGCATCAAATGGTTGTTGTCTGGAGCTCCCAAAATTGCGACCAAGAGGTTCACTATGGCATTCTTCAATCGCTGGGCTTGAGTTTCATTGTTTCCAGCCACTTGCTCCCAGTCATCACGCCCAAGAAACACCGCTGCCACCAAGGAGTCCGAGCTTGGCAGTTGCTGTGGGTCACAGAAGGCGGCGACCACACGTGCCAAACGCTGCTCTTGGAATCCCAGACTGTCGCGTAACCTCCATGGCTAGTGTGAGATACTCGGCAAAAAAGAATCCACTTGCTGGTCTATCTGAAAATTGCCAGAAATGAACCCAACTCACTCATACCATTCATAATCCATTCACCCAAAAAGTTAAAAAAAAAAACGGATAAAACCGGTCGCCTCTGGCAGTTTGGTGCCGTCAGGGCCGTGGCCAGCCCTGGTTGAGTTTGATTCTGCTTGATGAAGGCGCAGGCGCAGGCGTTGGCGCAGGCGTAGCGCCGATCTTCAGGACTAAGGCCGTGCAATGCCACTTCAGCTGCAGCTGCCGCGTGCGGAGACTGGAAGTCCTGCCTGGATTTCAAGCTGGGCGCTGCAAAAAATATATGAACCCTCCGGTCATTTAACATAGCTATGGTATAGATGGCCCATCTATAGATGATTTGCCTATTAAAAATTGTGATTGCCATGGCTATGATAAATGACCAGGGGGTAAAAGCTGAGATAAACGGTTGGAGCCCCATCCCAAAAATGTGAAAAAAGGTATCAAACACTGGCAGGTGTAGTCAAAAGGTGGCAACCATCACTTTGCACTGGCCTGACTTTTTTTTAGAGCACCAACCAGGTGATCATCTTGATTATGCTCACATCTCCCCAATTTCTTGACACAATGCCTCAGTGATTTCCTCACAAGAAACTGCTGAAACCTCGCAGTTGAGCTACTCTGAAAGCACCCAGGCCAATATGGCAGAGAATCCCGGTGGTTGTCGCTGCTCTGCCAGTCTGGGTCGGTATGGTGGAGCCTGGCTCCAGTGAAAGGTGTGGCCACAACCTTCGCGGTGCTGCACTTGGGTGTGCGCATGGGCACCGCAGGTCATCTCATCGCAACCTGGAGTGATCGGAAAAAGAAACGCACCAGGGAAACTGTGTGAAAGGTGGGGCACCGTAGTTAGCGAACTTTTTGTCATAATATCGGATAATTATAGATGATTTCCATATATTTCCATGGTTTGTGGTAGATATATCCATAGATCATGGGGTGAATCTAAACCAACGTTGCTGAAAAAAAACACCTTTTGGGATGGACCGGAAAAGCAAAAAAAAGGTCCCAATGGGGATGGTGGAAATCAGAAACATCTGGCGGGTCACCCGGGGGATATTAATTGGAGAATCGATGGTTTTGGATTTACCAGTTACCCTCTGGTAATTGAACATAGCGAACTGGAAAATCACCATGCTATTAATCGGAAAATCCACTATTTCTATGGCCATTTTCAATAGCTTTTTGTATGTTTACCAGAGGGTACCACATGCCACGTTGCAAAACCAAAAACAGAGATGAATCCTGTCCGTGGAGTTCCGCAGGTGCTCGTGCATGGCATCAACACCGGATCCAACGCCCCAGGCGTTGGTTCCAACGTTCGCAGTCAAGTCGAAGTCATTAGGCGCCCCATACTGGGAATAGCTTACAACAATGACCGGGGCACATAGGCCTCAAATTATGATCCATCCCCGTAGAATCCACAGAAGTATCCCTGTGTTGGCTGATTCAAACCTCAAGTACCGATTTTGTCTGCTTAAGATATCCCTTGTTGGCTCCCATCCACTTGTGTGGTATGGTCCCTTGCTGCCCAGGAACCTCCATTCTTCTCAATGACCTTGCCACAATTCGGACAGCAGCGACTGTCCCCTCGGGAGGCACACATCTGATCCTCGCGCTCTCGTTCCTGGTCCTGGAGGATATGCACCCCGGCTAGTAAATGGTTTACGACATTTAAAATCCATATAGAATTGGGGATATGTGTACTGGGAATATTCCCCAAAACAAACTGGGTCATAATATATGCTTATTAGCCACTTGCCAACTGGGATGCACATCCAAGCAAGCCGACTGGATTATCTGATTCTATCTGATTCTATCTGATTCAGTCAATCAGCAAATTCCTCTTCCAACTCCAACTTGGGGGGTTCAGCATGTTGAACATGTCGATAAGCATGGAGGACAGCCCTATGCACCAAGTCTTCGATCATTGGAAAAGGGGTGAGGGTTGGAAAAGCCTTGCTCGATTCTGCGCTACAGAAGAACACGGAAGATGGGAATGGCAGCTTTGAAGATTCCATCCAGCCACTTTTGGAGTGCTTTGCAGGGCCGAAATCAGATTTCTTTGAGTCAAAAACATCCGGTGGCGACAAAAAGGAAATGCCTTGTGGATGCGGTTGAGATGGTTTTTTGGGGGGATCATTGTACTTTAGTTCTAATCTAAAGATCACTTCACCTTGAACACACTTAAGGTCCAAGGAATATTTCTATCGGTTCCCCATTTCTGGTGGATTCAGTTTCTTGCCATCGGAGATAAACCTGAGCATTGCCCAAGTAGCGGATGTACCAATGGTCAATGGCCATTTCAGGAACCGATTTATTGGAGGTACCTACCATATATGAGGCCTAAATTTCAGGGAATATCCCAACAAAATATAGCCAAAAAATGCCAAAAATATGGTACTAACGTACCTCCATTTTAGGATCCTGAAATTCCCATTGAAATGGGATTTGGATTTACTTTTCATCTCTGCTTCCTGCCGTCGACGCCGCTCGCGCTCATGCTCGAAGCCGGGCATGCTCGACACGGGCAGGTCCTGCAGCCAACTGGTGCCCTGAATGGAAGTATCCCGAAAAAGGAACCATCAGTTTCCATATCTGAAAGAAGTAATGGTACAGTAATTTCCTTTTCGGAAACAGATGAAAATGGTGGTAATCTGGTAATTTCAGATCAGTAATAATTAATGGTCATTACCATATTTTCTGTTTATAAAATTTTATAAATAAACCATCTGGTAATTTCAGATGATCCCACCTTTTAATGGGAAAATATGGGATCATCATCATTAAATGGATAATGTGTCCATCGCCAGGTGAGGTTTTCCACATGTTTTTTGGTGTCTGGAGATTGGGGAACTGGTAATGGACCAAGACATTTGCGGCTCGTCATTTTGACCCATCGATCCATTCTCGAAAAGAAACACTATGAATCAATGGATTGGTTTAAGGGAAAATCTACAGGAAACCATGGTTTTTACCATCAAATATAGGGCTTTCCGGTTAAATTTTTTCCCATCATCCAATTCTATGAATGAAACAGGGCCGGGGTGGTATCATATACCCATCATCTTACCTGGTGCTAAACGCAGGGAATGGATGGGTTGCTGAGGGTTGCTGGGATGATTAGTAAACTAGTGATGACTGGGATCATTCCCGAAAATTCCCTACGTAAAACGCACCAGTAAGTCATTTACCTGTCATTCCTATCTGATTGGTTGTGAACCGAAGGGGGCTACTTGCCTTTACTCACAATGGATACGACAGCATGACCAGCCCGCCTCCCAGTTTCAGGAGGGAGTCTTGGTCACACCCTGCCGTCCCTCACAAAATTGGATAGGTGGGTCACAAAACTGGCTTGTCATATACCCTCTGTTCAGCAATTATGGGAATGGAAAATCCCATACCCTCTGGTAAACTAACATAGCTATTGAAAAATGCCATGTATAGTGGATTTTCCCATCAAAAATGGTGATTTTCCATAGCTATGTTAAATTACCAGAGGGTATTTCTGCCAGAGGAAGTCATCTGCAGTCGTGATGTTCCATCGCCATCCTGGATTTCCGGAGGCTGTCGTTTTTGGGGCTGAAAGCCATTGGTTCCATCGGCAACCCGGCAACCATAAAAAGTCCTCCCAAGGGTCTTCTCCGGGACCTCCAGAGTTGCGTGAAACAAGCAGATCTTGGATTTGGTCCAAAATTATTGAGGAAGATTTAAGCGGCCAGGATGGTGATTTGACTGGGTTTTAGCATCTAAAATTGGCATGAAAATCAATGAATATCATCACAATGAGTGTGTGAAAATAAAAGTGTGTGAAAATAAACAAAAGGGAAAATCATGATTCATCGGTGGATTTTCTTGAATATTAGCGGTATACTTGGTATTCCGACTTCAATAGGTTGGAAAAAAAGAAATACTTGAAACATCTTGAAACCACAGGTCAATGGATCTGGGTAAATTATAATATTTCACTAACCTGAATAGTTCGGCCATGAATGGGGATGATTCCCTATATCTAAACCATGATTTCCAGGGTTCGGGAGAACAGGCTTCGGTCGTGATGAAATTTACCCAGAAACGGTGGCATGTGGTGGATCAGATCGGATCACCTGTCCGGCACCTGTGTGCCTAGGCGACCTGCAATTCCGTCTTTGACCAAAATAAAAGGTAGCAGGTGCATGGTGAAAACTGACGCAAAATTCTGGGCTTACTGAGGCTTACTGAGGCTTGCTGAGGCTTGAAGATGACAAGCCCAGCCCGAAGTCCCCAAGTGTCAAATTTTCTTAGAGTCTGAATGTGGATAGGGGGATGCACGCCTGAAATTGGAACCCCCCAGTTCGGATATGCCTCGAAAATGATGGTGCTATTATGAAAAAATGGTCCATGCTCAAATTTTGGTGTGTAGTCCACAGCACAGGTTGGCCTATCCGCCTATCCCTTGCTTAGCAAGCGAATTTCCAGACTTTGACAACATCCATGTACAAAAAAGGAATACCGATCCAGAGGAAGAGTCTGGAAGTGAGAAGAAACTGATCCTATCCCATCTATCCCATGGGCCCGCAGGGGCCGAACTCATCTTCCAAAAAATAAAGTGGTGGTGATATCAGCTCACTCACACCAAGAACGCTCGGCTATACATCATGGTCAAAAACAACGGTAAATAATCATGGAATCATGGTTGATGATTAGTTCCGGGATTATACTAGCCAATTTTTATGGGGATGATCAACTACTGTATCAGACTGTATCAGACTGCAACTATCAGATTCATCACGGATTTCAAAGATCTCAAGCCTCACGGCCCACAGACGCGGTCTGCGCGCTCCGCGCGCCTCCGGCACGTTCCGGCTTCGACAAGGCCTTGGCCCAGCCCAGTGCAGAGTCCACCGGGGCGCCCGCGGCGCCCGCCCTTTGGAGCAGCTCCTGCAAGGCCTTCCCAGCCGCGGCAGTGGATCCTGCTTGGTGCACCAGGGCGTTCCTCGGCGAAGAGATGATCCTAGAGAAAGCACCAAAAAAAATCGATGGAAAAGGAGAATCCTACAATGTGAGGCCCCCGTTGGATAGCTAAGTTGGTGCCAATAACTCCAATTTCACTATGGTTTATGGTACTTATAACTCTAGTTACTGGGGGGCCTCACATTGTACTGAAATAGTGGAAAAATGTGGTTGATGTAATTTGTCTGAATCTTTTTTGGTGGTATACATTTTTCAAGGTATCTCAAGTCTGAAGGTCAGGTGGAAAATCTCCTGAAGGATCCGAGACTTGGGCTTGCCAACACTGCCAACCCTTGATTGGGTTATTGACGATCGTCTCAGTGGTCACAGACCATTGTCACAAACACCCAAAGTGCTGCTGATTCCAAGCCATCCCAAAGCTTTCAATCCAGACCAATCAACTGGGATCCAACCAAGTAATCTCAGCTCCATGGCTCCATGGTCCAATGGTCCAGAAATCCTCAAAATCCAAGGGTTCAAAATCCAAAAAATGCCTAGCTTCAGAAACATCATCCATTCTGCTTCCTCGCCCTCCGAAAACAACACCAGGAACTGCTGCACCTCGGCTCCGCGCAGCTTGCCACGCGCCACATCCTGTGCCAAGTCATCGAGCAAGTGCTGATGTCGCACAGCGCGCCGGACGGCCGAGAAGACGTTGAAGTTGCTGGACACTGCCTGGCGCCATGTTGGTCTACGTTTGGTGGTGCCCCTCCCAGTGATGTGAACGTTGGTCTATAAACCATAGTAACTAGTTCGATATGATGGTTGTTGGTTTATTTATAAACTATAGTACCTATAGATACAGTATATAGATATATCACTACCATAAACCAACTTAGCTAACTATGGGGCACCACCTTGTAGAGTCAAGAATCCCTGGTTCATGGTGAGAATAACATGAATCCAGAACAATGTTCTCAGAATCGACCATAGTGTGATGGCAATTTATCCAAAAAAGGGGGGGTCCAATTTTGACACATGGCCCAGAGCGATGTGGAAATGTGGCCCAGGGGATGTGGTAGACCCGAAAACAGTCAAACCCAATGGCTTTGAAAGGTCTACAACCCCATGCACAATGGGTATGGCGTATCATTGGGTTTGCTGCGTTCCTTGACATGATCGACAAGAAATGGGTGGGTTTGTTTCTACAAGAATGATGAATCAACTGCCAGAAACAGGAAATTCATTGATAGGTAATTACCAGCCAATAACAGCATAAGCCTGGAACCGCACTGGTTCTTTACTGACTTTACTGTTTGAGGGCCGCCATCTCATGTCCATGTTTCGGGACTAATTCTCCAAGATCTTGTTGCTAAAACTCTTTCAATCTTTTAGTGGCTCTGCCCATGCTCCTGCACCTGAACCCCTTCACCAGTTTCACCAGCTTCACCCTCTCCTGTGCAGCATTCCGTCGCAAGTCCTGCAAATGCTTCCCTTGCCCCAGTTGCAGCCCCAAGAGGGCAGTGCCGGAACCGCGCCAGGCAAAGTATAAGAGGTAGGGCAGGCTGCTGGTGTCTGGATCCATCTGTTCTTCCGTCCATTGCATCCAGCTGCTGAAGGGCTGGTGAAGGCATGGATGTTCCCCAACCTCAAGCTGGAGGATGGCAAATCAGATCAGTGAACATCTTGCCAAACAGGAGTTCAACTCGGATTGAAATGCAAAAAAGTGGCAAAAACCTCATGGACAAATAAAAACCATGCTGGGAAACACACAAAAAACACAGACTATAGATGAGACCCGCGGCTTTCCGGCAGAACTCTTTGCTCAACCTCTGGAGCATCTTTTCCTGCAGCCCTCCTCTGTGTTGCCCTACAGCTTCCAGCAGTCCCTGTAAGGCAGATGCAGCCAGCGAAGGAGTGACAATGGCATAGCACGAAGCGAAAATCCCGCGGCTGTCAACAATGTCCAGCACCAGGTTTGCACACTCATAGAAGATCTCAACAATCTCCGATGAATCTGCACGTCTCAAGGGACCAAGCAAATCATCCAAGATCTGTTGCAGGGTAAATCGTGCCATGATGAACTCATCGGGGGCAGCTTCCAAATGTGTGGCCAAGCTCCTCAAACATCTGTCCTGCATCTGTCGTCGATCCAGACTCCTGCCGTGGAACACCCCCCTTGGGCTATCCAAAATTCCACTTGGGATCTGTGATGGATGGGTGAATGGATGGGTTGCTGGGGGTTGCTGGGGGTTGCTGGGGGTTGCTGGGGGTTGCTGGGGGTTGCTGGGATGATGACATTACTAGTGATGACTGGGATCATTCCCGAAAATTCCCTACGTAAAACGCACCAGTAAGTAAATTCCTGGCGATGTTGCAAAACCAGATGTGACATTTGAATACATGGGGATAAGTCAAAACCCTGGTACCTCGTGAACCCCAAGTCATAGCTGGGATTTATGGATGTTCATCCCACTAAAAATGTATCTATAGGTTTCGACCCATCCCCACATTTCATGCAACCTTTGACTTTTTTGGAGCTGTGCCGAGCAACCCTTACTTTGGCTTTGGAGCACGCCGATCCGTGACGGCAAACATCATTCGACGTCGCGGATCGGTGAGGTCGTGTTCCGAACTTCAAGTCGGTCAAGGGCAACAATCAGCATTTAATAGTGATTTAATAGTGATTTAATAGTGATTTAATGGGATTTATAGTGATTCAATGGGATATTCATGGGATATTCATGGGATATACCCTCTGGTAATTTGTTGCATAGCTATTGAAAATGGCCCAGTCGAAATAGTGAGTTTTCCCATTAAAAATGGTGGATCTTTCCATAGTTTTTTTGTATGTTTACAAGAGGGTATTTATCCCAGGTTTTCCAGAGTCATCCCAATTTTACATTGGCTAAATCCACATGTTCATCTGGTTGGTGGTATACCTACCCCTCTGAAAAATGATGGAGTGAGTTCGTCAGTTGGGATGATTATATATTCCATTCCCAATATGATGGGAAAGTCATTCAAAATTCCATTCATGTTCCAGTCACCACCAATCAGTCATTGTTGTTCTTGGTCATCTTTTTAAACGCTCCTGCATTCAGCCAGAAGCTCAGCCAATATGCTCAAGCTGCCCTCATGGTCCATCATGCAGGGGACCAGATCACTGAAGAACGAAAGCTGGCGCAGCCTAGCTTTAAGAGACTGGTGGATGCCATCATCCAACGATGGATGAGGCTACAATAAGTTGCAATCATCTAAAGGCTAGAGTATAGTGGTACTTAATTACTATAGTTATATCTTCCCCTAAGAAAACCACCTTAAACTCTGACCTGTTTGTTTATAATCATGAGTCATGACGTCTCTTTGAGTTGGCAATTGCTCAGTAACGAGCACCATTGAACACAGGCTTCTAGGCTCAGCCGCAGTTCCCACAACTCTCCGAAAAACTTGACAAGTGGCAGTGGGTCAAAACCTTGTACCCCTGTAGCTCACATAAAAATAGCTGGTAAATGGATGTTCATCCCTCTAAAAATGGTATTTTCATAGGTATTGATTCATAGCCAAGTCGCTTGCCACGACATGCCCTGGACATTGGTAGACGTTCTCCCATGGTTGCCCGCGCCGCCGAGAAGGAATGGTGCCACGCATTCAATCCCCTGACATGGCACGTGCCAGTCATCAAGGGATGCAACGGCCCCATGCAAACATAGTGGTGCCCCATAGATAGCTAAGTTGGTTTATAACTACAATAAGTGGGACTTATGGTAGATATTGTAAAAACTCCTGCAGTAAAACCATGTATTGTATATATCATCGATCTGCCCGATAGCGTTGGTTCAAAAGAGCTGAGAGCTTAGCGGTTTGTAGTGCATTTTACCCCATTGTCGGTTGACCTGGTAAAATACAGGTTATCAGCCGTAGTCTCACTACTTTGCTATGGGGACCCCAATTGACCATCCTCTCGCCGTTCCAGGGTCAGGTCCATCGGCTGTCGCTGTGCCTAATATGGCCGGGGGCAACCCCGAGCCGATGGATGACGAAACAATGTTCCAACCCGTTGTTGCGTACTTTACCTTCATACAAAACAACCTGTCCCAGATTACTAGTGGGAATACCCTGCAAGTCATGAGGGAAGCTGAACAGAGGCACCTTCAGATAATGCATGGAGTAGTTGACTCAATTCGAAACGAATGGTCAAGTAGACTCGTAATGCAGGAGCAGGAGTATGAGCAAAGGCTGCAGGAGGTTGAAGGTAATGCCATTAGTGCCCTCAACGAGGAGAGGAAACGAGGCGACGAGATGGAGGTCAGGTTGAATCAGGCTCAGGCATCGCATGACAAAAGAATAGAGGATGTAAAGGCAGAGGCAAACACAAAGCATGATCAGAAAATTGCAGAGGAAAGGAAACGTATCACTAGTGAATTCGAAGCTTCCTATGCACAGACAGTTGAACATGCAAAGAATGCCATAGCTGCCACAAAGAAGCAATATGAAGATCAGGCTGCAATTGATCAGGCCAGGTTCATCAGTTTGAGGACCGAATTCGAGAACTACAAGAAGGAGATGGCCGACAAGATCAACGAGGCAGCGGCTCAGAACCTTAGCCTTCAGGACCAAATCGATGACCTTCAGGAGCAGTTAAAGCATGTTGCCAAAGCGCAGCATGCCTCCGTTCCGAAAGCATCCGTCCAGAACGCCGAGCCGGCCGCTACCACTAGCGTGCCCCACTTCAATATTGCCACTCCCAAAGCATCCGATGCACAGGCTGCCAGAGGCAGTGATGAGCCGATTCTTGAGTTTAAGACGCCTGCAGTGTTGGCGCAGGAAGCAAAGGCCAAGTTGGACGAGCTGCTCAAAGGTGGCAGTCCCAAGCAAAAGCCGGCTGTCGGCAACGACCAGCCCCAATTGCCAACGCAGTCAGGGTTTTTCACTCCCACTGAAGCTATCAAAACTCCCCCAAATGAATCTCCTAAGAGCGCAACCAAGCAACAGCAAGTTATGGGTCCCTCAGATCTTATTGAATTGGTGAAAGCCTTAACCCAAAGGGAAGAAAAGGATAAGCCAAAAACTAAGGAGGCTGAACTCATCAAGCTGAACAACATGCCCGCTCCGGAGTCATATAGAACTTGGAAGAATCACGTCAGGGATGAAGTGAAAAGCTGTTCAGATCGCCCGGATGAGGCGTGGCTCTGGCTCAACGAGGTGTACGATCAAGAGTGCACCAGAGAGCAGTTGGAGAAGAAACTCCAAGATCCTGGAAAGTTCCTCACGCTGGATACAAAGTTATCAGCAGCGCTCACGCGCTCAGCCGGAGGGGACCTCGCAACTAGGATCTTGAATTTCAAGGAGCAGCAATCCCGAAAAGGCATCCAGGTCAGGGGAAGATATGTTCTGCTTATGTTTGAGGACTACTTCAAGACATCAGAAGAAGCAGGTAGCCTTTACAGAGTAGAAGATCTTTTGGGTGTTGTCAAAGTAGGCGATACTGTCCAGGATCTCCGAAGATTCATCAACAAATGGGATGCTACCCTAGCTGGCATGGCTGTCACCCCTGATGATGCTGTGTTAAGGGACATCTTGTTGAGGCAGATCCGACCAAGTCAGTTGCTGAAATATGACATCGAGGTGTTTGACCGTGCTCATGAGAAATCCCATGAAAAGTCTTACAGTTTTCTTCACCAATCCATGAAGAACTTGATCGATCGTGAACGATTGAGGGAGAACAGGAACCGCATTGCGGAGAAGAACAAGGCTGGGATTAAGGACACAAAGGCCGCACCCGCCAAAGGCGATGGTCGCGGCGGCCGAAAGGGCTCTCCAAGTCGCGGTAGATCGCAGGAACGAGGTGGCAAAGGTGACAAGATTTGCTATAAGTTCCAAAAGGGTACCTGTGATAAGGGGAAGAAGTGTCCATTCAAGCATGTCAAAGATGATAAATCTCGAACTCAATCACCCAGAAGAACCAAAACACGTTCACCATCAAGGGGCAATAAGGATGATAAGGGGAAGAAGATGTCTAAAGAAGAAATGGCTAAAACCCCATGCATCTATCATGCCCAGGGAAAGTGCAGACGTGGTGACAAATGTTTTTATAAACATGATGACAAAGCCGCTGCCGCCACCAAAGACACCAAAAGGGCCAATTCACCCGCTCCCAAGAAGAAGGGCAAGGATTCCACAGCCGCTCCATGTCTGATCCAGAAGTTTGCATGCATCGTCCGAAAACAGCCGAAGGCAACTTCGTGCTCTGATGAGGCAAGTGTCAGCATGAAGCGTCTTAGATTCCGAAAGGCCCCACATGTGATCGAAGTGAAAGCAGTTGGTCGTCAAGTCCCAGTCAAGCACCGTCCAAGAGAGTTCACTAAGGTGTACAAGACAGCTGAAGATGTTCCAGTTTCATCAAAGGTTGAACAGCATGAAGCTCAGGTTCGTGCAAGACAGCTCCAAGAAACTGTGAAACTTCATGATTCAGATGTTGCACCAAGTTGTGGGTTTTGTTGTTGGGATGAGGACACACGTGACATCACATGCAAAGAGTGCAGGTTCATCAGCGGTCCCAAAGCCCTTAGAGACATTGGTCGTTTCCCGTCAATTGCCACAGCTGCGCCAAAGGCCGGCGTTAGTTGGCTTGTTGACTCAGGTAGTGAATCCGATCTTGTGTCCAAAGGAATGCTGAGGGATGTAAGTGCCAAGAACTGCCGTGCAGCCGAGCATCCGATTTCCTTAGTCACAGCCAACGGTTCGACTGAGGCAAACGAAGTTGCTGATGTCAAGTTGTCCGCATTGCCAGATCCGTGCATCCGTATGTGCTTGATCATACCCCAGCTGTGCTCTCCGTAGGAACGAGATGTGTAGATCAGGGTTACAGTTTCGTATGGCCTGCCAACGGCAAACCAATCCTAGTCCGTCCAGATGACAAGGTCGTCCAGCTCAAGATCGAAGGTCATGTCCCAATCTTGGATGATAGTTGCAAGGTTTATCCCAAAGATCAATTTCAAAAGGATAAGCACCTCAAAAAGTTGTTTGCAATGCCGACCTCACGGTCGAGCTCAAAAGCCAAGCGGGACGAAGCCCAAGATGAAGAGCAGTTGGATGAACTGGTGGAGGATGACGCTCAGCAGGAGTACATCCGAAGCCG